CTGGTCTTGTTATGTCGAGTGGAAAAGGGCACGATGGAGCGGTTACAGTACGCGTTGCTCGAGATGCGGTACCCGAAGTTGAGCGAATCGAAGACAAAGTTGCTATCCCATCGCGCCAGTCGAGTCAAAAATCGGGCAGATCTCAACCATCGGCAAATCCAACTGGAGATAAAGCAGTGGTTGTTAACAATGAAAGTGCCCACCTGGCAAGTCTACCTTCACTACGTCCTACGAGTAAAGCCCCTCCTCCACCAATGACATTCGCACCAGAAGTAGTGCCTCTTCCTTTTAAGATTCCCGAAGATGAGATGGATGATAATCGATCTTCGATTGCTACTTCTCCAGACGAAGAGCTAGCGGTCAACGGCAAAACTTTGAAACGTAGACCCAGTGGCGGCTCAGCATTGTCCAATAAAACCTCTACTCGATCAAAAAGAGAATCACTAAGGTATTCGGAAGAGCAAGGTATCAGCACAGAGAATTTGGCGACTCCTTATGCCGATGAAACTGATCGCGCAAGTTCCATCGCGGCAACTGTGGATGATCTCAGCGATGATGAAGACAGGGAGGTAGGAAGTATACGATCATCAGTTGTTAGCCAAGGCACTCCTATACCGGATGTGGACTTCCCAGGACAGGATGATCAAGATGATGAGCAGAGTCCAGAACTGGTGATGGTGAAGGTGACGACTGAATCGCAAGAAACTGCATCTGGACAACTTCCTCCGTCCCCAATGAATTCCACGACTGAAGATACAGATAATAAGGTGGCTAGTGGATCGTCTGATGTGCGACAGAGTTTGGAGCTTCGGCCAGAATCGGAAATTACTGTTGCCACTGATATTCTCAACACTCCCCGAAATGAATTATCCCCGAATGAGTCAATGCCTCAGCAGGACTCGCCAACAACGTGTGAGGATCCAGTACCGAACACTTCAAATTCCACTGTTGGGGAAAGTCTTGAAGATGTCGACAATGGAACTGAATCAAAACTTAAGTCAGAGTCATCCATTACATCGGCGCCTGACACAAAGACCACGAAAATCACGAAGGATCAATTGCCTGCCCAGTTTTCAAAAGTTGTCATGTCATATCGTACCAATGAATGGGCCAAACATTTGAGCCATGCAGACTCACCGGAATTGGAAGAATTGGACATTTCTGAAAATATTTCCGAGGATCCCAAATCTGAATCGGCTGTTCCCGTGGATGTCGAAGCACTTCAACAAACAGCTCACAATGCTCTTCCACCACCAGCAGTACGATCATCTTCTCAGCAATCAATCTCTCCAGGTCTTATCCGGTCAAGCTCAACCCAATCACAAATCACGCCCTTCGCGACTATACCCGAGGGTTCTCCCATTCATAGGCAGGATTCATCGACACGAAATTCCTCGCAACAACCATTAGGGGGATCTGAAGTGCATCGATCATTGCGCAATGTTTCAAATCCAAACATTCCAGAGCCAATAGTCGAATCATCTGGCGAAGAAATTCCATCTTTCCAACAACATTTTTCGCAATCAATTTCCCCGGCATTCGGAAATTCTAATACACTAATGGAAAAACGAGACACAATGCTCCGCAATAGATCATCTTACTTCCCTACGAGAAACTTTTCTACACATTCGATGCCGATACTTGAACCAAACCCACAATCTCCCTTACGATTTCAATCTGCTTCACATTCTCAAATGGGTAGCGAAACCGGGTTAATCCATAGCCCTCTACGGTCTTCTCACTTCAACAAATCAGCCCCAATTCTTCCCGAATACGATGATATACCACTTTCTCAGCGTCGCGAACTCATTCGTCAATCTACGTCTCAGCCTCTAGCTGCCCCTAATACAAACCTTAATTCACATCAACCGAAACGCACATCGAGTATTCAAACTCCACTGGTTAGAGAACAGCAATTGGCGATGTGGAGAAACAGTATCGCAAATGATTTGCAAGTGCAGAAGAAGAGGGAAATGGAGACAGTGGATAATAGGAGGAGTGTACTTTGGCAGGAAAGAAAAACAGTGGAAATGAGAAAAGAAGGGGAGAGGAGAGCAAGGGAAATGAGGGAAGAGAGATGGGAGGGAAAAATTAGGACAGCTGGTGGGGAGATGGAGGAGTTGCATAGAAGAATGATGAGTCGGATGCAAGATGAGGCGAGGAAGGTGCTTTGATTTGGGAATCAAGGTGGCGAGGAACAAATATAGGACTGAAAGTGAAGGGTAATTCTTAATGGTTTAACTTTTGGATGGATGAGATAGCACTAGACGTCTAGAATTTGCTGGACAACACGGCTGATAAATTCTTGTATATATGTATATCTACGGTTTGGGGAGATAATCTGATAGCCGGATTGAGAATGGTGTTGGCTGAAAACAAGATACATGAGTTGGGAAGCAGGACAACATGTATTATCGAATACAACAGGATCAACGATACTGGAGATACGGATTTACTGATAAGATGCTTTGGGAAAACCCCCTATGGATGGAATGGCACTGGCACTGGCGGGGATAGGAGAAGATCCATCATATATAGTATTTGCCACAAAGTTGGATATACTAGTCTGGTGATTGATCTCGAGGGAGAGATATCTTCGCGCCGACAGGCATAGATAGACTCGTTTGTGAATCTTGATTTCCCCGATTTTCTTCCTGAACTCTACTGTTAACAAGTCGATCACTAGATTGAAACACCGAAATGTAAGTTCAAATCCAACTCATCTTCCCCAGATCCCAACACTGAATAACGCACGCAGTAAACTAGAGTACGGAGTAGAAACATCGTACTTCGTACACGAAGTTCAAAAACAGATCACCACCCGCCATTCTGCTGATCATTCAATTTGTAATTTGTTTCGGACCCGCATGCTTCGAATATTCTTCTGGAAGGAAATTTGATCATGGTTACCAGTTAGAAATTTGCATAGGGTCCACTGATATTCATTTGGTGATCTACTTGGTGATCCTTGATGCTTGGGGGATGTCACATGTGTCATGTCTGAGAGGTATGAGTGAGGCATTGGGCAGAAAGTGGTGGGTGTACAATGGGATTTGGTGAAATGGGAGAAAAATTTGGGACGAAAATATTGGTTGGCAGAATACGCAGATCAGGAGATAATCTGCAATTCCATGACTGGACATGCCCATTCTACCATATACGAGAATGTGGTCTTGTAACTTTCATCTGTCAATTGAGTCTTACAGTCTGCCAATCTAGTCTCACAAGCTGTCAATCGAGTCTCACATTTCGGATACACCGGAAAAGTGGCTATGATAATTTATATCGCCATGCCATACATAACATGGATACAGGCAGTATCAGGGATTTAGCATTTAACAAAAGTCCTTTCTTTTTAAGTTTAGATCAGATGAAAAACTTGGAGCCTCAGCAAGGCTTGCTGTGATAAATATAGATGAGACTATTAAAGCATGAGGTGGTGGTCCCTTCAATTATCAACGTCATATGCTGGTATTATGCCCTCTCAATGCAATTTCGTATATTGAGCTGAGGGCTGATGAGTGTAACGAGGCTGAAAGTATAATCGAACCTTTTGAAGATCTTAGGATTATGATTTGACATGTAACCTAATTTTTTTGGGGAGATCTAGAAGTTATTGGTAAAAAGCGCTAGCTTGAAGCTATCGATATGTAGGCTTTCAGGGGTAAAACTCGGGAAGGACGAGCTAGCATTTCATTTCCGAGGGATTGGATTGGGTCGAATCTTGAAAGTTGGAAAAGGATTGAATTTGAGTCCAGTTTCAACGACGTACAGTAGTTTCGAACCAACTAGAAACTCCTTCTGAAGCAAGAGAATAAATCATATCAATCATATTATCAGTGATGACATACTTGGAGGATATCAGTGGCAGCATCCCATACTCCGTACATAGATCTGGGCCCTGTACGCTCAGACATTTGGAAATTTCGAGACTCAAGTTCACCAACTAATGTGATAAGTTGGCATAAAAATTTAGATGAAGGAAGTATTCTCAGGGCTTCTTTTGGATGGCCAATCAATATCAATATTTGAAAATCCTTGAGGGTTGGATTGGCCATTGCTTTTATAGCTGGCTAATTTGGTGCTTTATAGCATACTTGATACTGCTGCTACAGAGCACAAATGTGAAGACCTTTGTTTCAAGGAGCTGAGCCATAGCGTAGTGTCGGCTTAGATGCTCCTTGATGGTGCTATGGTTATGTAGCTACTAGCTGATTGCTTGCCCTTGCTTCGAGAACCTTAGAGATGAGCATGTAAGTAAGTAGGAACCTAGGAAGATAGAGATGAATAATGGAGTGAACCATGAACGTTGGTACCAAATCACCAAATAGGAATAGGATATTTGATGTACCCAGCCTTTGTGTCCCTAAAGTTTCAAGGTTGAAATATACGGAGTAGAGATGCTTTTAGCTGCCTGGGTATAGACCCAGGGGGTTGAATGATTTGAGGTAAGTAATTTTATTGAAAGACGTGACTTGGGATGGAAATACTAGGTATACCAGGTGGTTAAGATGATAAGATATCGTTGATGTATGTACAGTTGTGAAATTTGAATTTATCTCATATTTTATATGAGACTTGATTCTTTTCTTTTGAACTCCGATCTCTGAACTTTGAACTTTGAACTTTGAACTTCGCTTGAATTTGCTTGCTTACTTTCTACTTCTCTTCACCGAGATATCTTGGACTTCAATTCTTAGCCTGTGATTCCTGTACTACTGTACCTACTTCTATTCCCCCGGCTTTTGGTTGATGACGGCAGAAATTTAACTAGATTATTCCATTTTGACTTTTTGATATATTTATATACCACTTCGTATACCTACCGAGCAACGAGCCTACTCCTCAGCCGTCTTGCTTTTTTTCCTCTCCAAAGCAAATCTGTCATTCATACCAACCCGAATCTTCGAAACCTTTTGAACCATATACACATATATATATATATCATCCTTTCTAAAAGATACTCAAATCCAAAATCACAGTTAGACATGCACAATCGAAATGGAAGAGAAGAGATTTACTGAAATATCAGGCATTTCAGGCATTTCATCACACATAATTCAACAAGCGAATCAAAAACTTCAATTCCTGCAGGACTCCTATCTAACTGCATCACATTGCATTAGTACGAATCCCCTTACAATTCCCCACGAAGAATCCTTTCAATTGAAGGGCAAATATTTCAAAATTTCGATATCTATTCGACTACAAAGTCGTCTAAATAAAAATCAATCATCAACAATAATAATAATCATAATAACAACAATACGGAGAGAGGAAGGGGACAAGGTTGAGGAGAAGCAGGAGAAGAGGAAGAAAAGAGACTTGCGCTTATCAAAAATAGCGGCCAATAATCCGGCCGCAAATTCCCAACGGCGTCACACACATCAATCCTACCGACCACCATATCTTCATCCACCATAGGAATCACCAATCGACCCAATGCCCCTCCATCAGCGATTGGAAACGCGAGAATTCCATCCCCAAGTCATCAACCTCCATATCCATCACCAAGCCCTGTGCCAACCAATCGCGATCAACCACAAGTTCGAATAAGTAGTCCAACGAGATATAGTTGGAGGAACGCTTTACAAGGTGTTGCGAATCCTGGTACAACAGAAACTTTCCCAAATCCCTTTAGACCTCGTGCTGGCTCAAGAAGTACGTCAAGGGGGAGACCGAGAAGACCAAGTACATCTAGATTGTGGAATCCGACAAATTCAACCCCGAGAGCATATCCTCAGACATCGCCAAAAAGACATCAATCACCGCCGGAAGAACGTCCGGTTATTGCGATACCACTTCAACATCCAGATATATCAAATTTACGGGAGGGAGCCAGTGCTGGAGGTAATTATCCATTATTAACGTTACCGGAACAGCGACAACAAAGACATTCCGCATCTACGAGAGCAAGTTTACAGGTTGATAGGAGTGGAAGTTCATTAAGTTCGCATCGAATATCTTTACCAAGAACGGTTAGCATAGACCTTGCGCGAAATCGAAAAAGCGGTGATTCTCCTCTTACACCTACTGCCGGACCAAAACTTGATAAGGGCAAAGGAAAAGCGGTAGAAGAAGAGCCTGTTATAACTGTTGCGACAACATTGGAGAAGCTTACCGGAAGGGCTCCAGAAGGAAGACAACTTACTCCGACACCTGTCTCGGGCATCTCTTTCGATTTCAGTAAAGCAGCTATGTCTGCGGACCTCGAGCGCGGTCCCAATACCCTCAATCCATATAATCCATCTGGCACATCACCAATACCACATGCGAACGATTCAAACATTTCATTACCAGGCGGTATAGGTTCCGCATTATCCTCAAATGGCACATCGATAGTTGGGGAAGAGCCAGGGGAGGGAGATGATGATGCTTGGGGTCCCCAACATCCATGTTTTCCACATATGAATATGCATGTTCCACTCTCATCGCCTTTATACAATACAACACGCATAATACGCATTCGTCGCGATTGGATGTTGGAAGGAGATCTCGCGCCTACATTTTCAAATTTATACCCAGAGATTTTGGATCCGGCTGGGGTTACGGAACAGGATTTTAGAGGCTTGATTGAGAGGATTAATAATGAATTGATACCGGCTTTTAATCCTTGGGGTGCGAGAAATATCTTCGATGGGTTGATGGGCTTGGTGACGGGTTGGGTATGGGATGATTTGGGTTGGACGGGTGTGAAGTCTCGGTTGAATCGTGTGGAAATGTGGTTGGAAGAATGGAATAGAGATATGGAGTCGAGGGCAAAGGAACCGGGGACAGCTCCAAAAATTGTGAGTTTGAGGAGAACGGGATATATGAACGTGAGTTTTCCCCTAGTAGACATATTTTGACTCGCCTCTGTGTAGGAGAAGTCCTTACTGATGTATATCAAACAGCTTGATATCCAAGTCCCAGATCCGGAAATTTCATATCCCGCCACAATACCCGAATCTGATCGTTTAGATTCGGGCATATCGCAAAATACACATGTCACGGGAACTCCACCAGAACATGAGTTACAAGCTACAATACCCAGTAGGAGTCAGAAGAGTGACCATATGGAAACCGTTCCTTAGGTGGTATTGAGCGATGGGAGCTGTAACATACATAAGAAGAAGAAAAGGAAGCGGAGGATTGAAGATAGAGGACGAGGAGAGAAGCAATTTATACCCCCTTTTTCATTTTTACACAGGCGTTTTAGGAGAAAGAGAACAAGAGGATATTTTGTAGAGGAGATGGAAAGAAAGAAAAAGAGGAGGGGAAGAAAGGGAAGAATAGTGATTTGTTTGGAGTTAGCATTGGACTTGGGATTGAAACGCACAGTTGAGAAGACAGACGGGAGTTGCATGCATTTATATACTGATTGATTGCAAGATCAAGGCTTGCGTCAGGGAAGTTTTGGTGATGTTGTTAGGGATTGCTGTAGGATTGGAAGATGGACAAGAGAAGAGAAGAGCAGAGAGAAAGCAAGTGTGAGGGAGACAGAAAAAGGAGTGATGAATATCATGTTATGTTTGATGAGGATTGGTGATGGACAATATGATGGAGAAAGAAAGGGTAAGAGTATGTTTAGTTGCAAGAGAGAAAGGAGACCCGAGGATTATTTAATAGGTACTTGTACGTAGGTGCTGATAATGATGAATGATTGAACTTGGGAATTTTGGAGCTTTGAGAACTTTGAGAACTTTGACGTCGGGATTTGCTTTTCCGTCTAATGAGACACCTGTCCAGCTACATTCATATATAACAGCAGGTGGTGAAGCGTGGAATTGATGATCTGACCATGAGATGGAAATATAGCTACCTAGGTACTCAGTACTGTAAACGAGCATTTTGATTCTCTCTATAATCCTTATTCTGTGATCCTCACCCTGTTTATCTGTCCTTATCCAAAGCTCCCTTTTCTTTCCCATTGATTATACTAGATACTTTTCCCTATAATATCGCATCCACACTTGCGGTCCTGCTCAAAGATTATTGCATATGGATGGACTTTATGACATATTTTACATGTTAGTGGTTGCTCCTCACTCCTCACTTGCTTCTCCCCCCTTAAAAAGCATCTCAGAAGACAAATGATGGTGTTACCCAGCCTAACCATCAAACTTTGTATGTGTGTACAATTCTTTGAATACCTAACTCCGAATCCATGCAACAAAGCTCCGAAAAGCACGCATCTATTAGACCACTAGAATACTACTCCACCACTCGCATCACGAAATGAATACTTTCTTAACCAAGCCCTTTGCAAAAACCTCTCCCGTCCTCAAATCCTTATAGGTTTCATCCTCCAAACCCACTTTTCGACTATACTCGTGTAATCGATTCTCACCATACACATGGCCATTCGGCAAAAGCACCAAATCATTTTCAACGTGACTTTTAGTGTGTTGTGCATAAGGCATGTCTTTAGCTAATTCATTGAGCTCGATGCTGCAGATGGGACAAACGGACGTAGTCGTTGTGGCCGTGGAAGTGGGAGAGATGGAGGAGGTATGTGAGGAATGACAGGCAGGAGTTTTAAGCGCAGAGAGACCGGCAGAGAGAGCGATGTGCAGGAGAGGTACAGAGGAAAGATTAAGGAGTTCGTTGTGCGTTTGCGTAAAAAGATTGGCGAGGTGTGTCCAACGAGTGGGACTATAGAGTTCCTGCGACTTTTGTTAGGGGTGTGGAGCAGATTACAAAGGGGACAACATACTCCGTAACCTGAAGCTTTAGTTTCGGGAGGAAACGCTAGGAGTCCACACGCTTGTTGAACTTCTTTAGGATAGCTTTCCCGGAATGGTAATAAATACTTTTTCGCATGTGCGATAGATTCAACCAACTTCGCCTCATCTTTTGTGCGTACCAACTCGACATATTGCTGGAAACGAAGCATAAATTCGAGATTACTCTGTACCAAATGTCAGTATAGGTACTAAAGTACGTGCCTAGAATCCTTACCTCCATCTTCCTCAACTCTTTCTTATTTTCCGAACACCATGCCAACGCCTCCGTAACTTTGCCTTTGCAGAGACTGTCTTTAATCCTACTCATCTGAACGAAAGTCTCCACATCCACTAGCTCCTCGATATTCTTCTCCCGCGCAAGAGCACTAGCACTCTCTTTATATCCATTTCTCAACAGATAATCAACCAGTAACCGATCTAACCGTGTCCGACTCCATTCCTCATATTTCACATCCTCTAAACTCTTTATTTCATAGAGTGAACTTATATGTTTGATTCTCGCAGCAGATTGCGTTTGTAGTCTCTTCTCTTCTTCGGCACATGATTGGAGTTTGCGTTTTAGACCGCGCATGCGGGTGAGCATAGAATCAACATTTTTGAGAACATCGTCGGGAGAAGCATGGGCATTGAGGGAAGCGTCAGTGGTTTCCTTCAAGGCAGTTTTAACGCTCGCAGATTCTTTTTCGAGATTGAAATGGACCACTTTGAAGTTTTTCTTGAGGAGTTCGAGGGGAAGTCGAAGCAGTGGTTGGTCCTATGAGAATATTAGCTTGAGAGATGCGTGGAGGGGAAGAGGGGAAAGTAGACTTACGAGGATTAGATGAGTTTCGGGATTTAGCTTGGTAGTTATGAAATCAGCCATATTGAATGAAGTTCAGATGTGCGACAGTAAAAAAAAAGGTGATGAGCTTTATAGAGATGAACGGAGAAAGTAGAGGAGTGTGAATTGTGCCCGGAGGCAGTGGCAGTAGTGGATGTCAAAGCCAATGAATACTCAGACTGGCGAACGAATTGCTCTTTCGTGAATCACAAGTTGTCAAAGATATAATATAATATCCGGATTCAAAACTAATCTTGTACAAATTTGTATAAGAATGCAGTGAGTTGTAGCAATTATCTCACAAGCTTTACAATCATTCGAATCTGTACGATATAGATTGTGAGATTGACGTTGTAGCTCCATTGTCTGGCACCGATAACTACGGTTGCTTTTACGACCAGATGTGATATCAGATCAGCATGGTCACATGGCTTTCGTCTTTTGGTTGGCACATGCACGCCATGTCATGCTTAAAGATTCGAAGACTTCTGATTCGATTCTAGTGATTTTGATGCGTTATATTGACTTGAAATTGGTGTGTTACGAAAACCATCGCTGATAATCAGAATGCGACATATTACGAGAGTCTCTCGAAGTCCGGTGCTAAAAATTGAAGCATACTGTTCATTAACAATCATTCAACCACACCTAGGTATGCTTCTTGAACGCGCGATAAATAGAATTTGTATTGGGCCCCTTTTCGCCAACTCCCTCATGCTCCATTCGCTTCCCCTTATATCTTGCTCTAGATTCGCGAACTGTTCCTCACGGATTTACCGCTCCTTCTTTTAAAGCCTTGTACTTTTTAACGGTCCCTAAATCTTCAATTTCAAATGCCATGGTTATGCCGCGTGTAGACTTCTGAAGCTTGCCAAGGGTGAGGGCATATTCAATCGCATGAGCCCGCCTCTCTCGCGATACATCTACAGTACCGTATCCGAAAGCGAACCTGATTAAGAATCTGCTCATTCAACTATGCCGCGTTGTTTTGACCGATCACCAGTACGTCTGGGGATCTACAACCTCGGGTGATCTTGATGTATGTCCCTCTTGATTCTTCACGAAAGCATGAAAATACAAGCCGTACGCATCTCCAGCCGACTTTTACTCTCGTGATTTCGGAACACTAGGTAGGTATTGAGGTATCTCCTTTACAACACGATTGTCAATAAAAATGTAGACACTTTCGACTGATCGTTATCCTCTTTTTCTTCACCCCCTTCTTCCTATACTTAGGAGGGTTTCCTGCCTTGCAACTTGCTTTCTTTCCAGCCCGAAGATAATTTAATTCGTTCTCCATCTCTTTTGACTGTCGGAGTTATCTATACCATACTTTGTTATCCCATTACCCTTTCTTCTATTCTCCCTCTTCGTCTTTCCTTTCATGTGCCTGCTAGACTTTTATGAGAGGAAACAGGAAAGCTGTCACCTTGAATCGATAACTCAAGGCTTTGTGACCAATCAAAGGGTTGTGGACTGGGCGGTGGAGTAGAAATGGGGATTCGAAAGCAACTTTGTCTTTGAGTGTATCTGGAAAGGCCACCACTGAATACCTGCCAATCTCTGTAGGTATGCATACTACAAACTTACCACTGCCATCTTCCAATCAGCAAATTGGCTGTGAAATTGCCGCCATTTATTGGGGAAGGATTCTGATTTTGGAAGATCTTAGCAGCAGCTAGGTATCAAGTACCCCAACGCTCACGATATAAACTGAAATTGAATGCGCAATCAATGTGATCTCAAAGTCAAGTTTTGTGAAGTGTCACCACCTAGAATCATGACGGGATTGAACATACTCTGCGAGTCTGTAAAGAAACAATACGAGTAGAAGTACAGGTGAATGTCAAGAGCTCATAAAGTACCTAGCCTCTCTGACCAATCATGACAGCGCTGCACAGACATGTGATAGAGAAAAGAGTTTGATAGTGTGTGATCTCGACTGTTTTTTTGCGCATTGAAAGCCTCTTATTTAAGGCAGAATTACAGTTACGGTCTAACGCATTATCACCTAGCTCTACAACAAGCCCCTCAATAATCTCTTCACCCGGTAAAAGTGCCTCTGCTCTTTTCCTTCCCACATGATCCTCTCTTCACGTGTATCATATCAACCATCAACAAGAACACAAGAACTTCCTCAAAAAGAAGTACTTAACTCACGGTTTTTTCGCATTACGTTCAATATTCTGAGGGTTGTCTCTTTTGTCTCAGTTCGGTCTTTATACCTAGTTAGGGTCGTCAAGCTTTGTTTTCGTGACATTGCAGTTTTGATCACTCGTGATCAATTGAATGGTTGTTTAACAACATCATCTGACCTTGGTGAGTATTTCGATTCTCCCCCCCCTTCCTATCCTCAATCAAAGGATATCATCTAAAATTGATCTGTTAATTCTAATCCATATAATCATCTACTAATAACTTCATAGATCTTGTCTCTTTTTTCCCCATCAATAATTCGAGTGGTTGGTGATTTAACAATATCAAAAAGTTCCATCATCCAGATTTTACATTTGGTCGCGTTCCCACAAGAGCCTCGGGCAAGGAAGGGAGGAAAGAAAGATAACAACCACCCAACCGATCATTAGGTGATCATAATAAAAAAACAAGGTGCGTGAAATTTCATAATCAAGTTCCACAAACTCCCCTCCCCCTCACCAAAAAAAAGGCCCCAAAGATCGATCAAATTTATTTTCAAATCTGTGCCTGTCCGTTGCATCAATCCGTTACTTGTCAGGAGCGCCTCTGCACTTTTATGAAAGAACAAGAGAAAAGATTAAGAGACCAAAGAGAAAAGGGTTATCTTTCGTGAAACCTCGCAGCGTTCCAATTCCACGCAACAAGGATTGTTCGGACATTACCGTTGGCCCAAATTATCTTGCACTTCATAAATCACCAGGTCGCAACACACACAGAATGCCTCCTCCCATGATTTTGGTCATATCTCGCAGAGCAGCATCAATATACAATATCATATTGTAACTGAACCACTGCCTGCGATGTCCACCCAAAATGACAATAGTCTTGTTTGCACAGGAGTACCACAATTAATTATGGCAATTGTTATACTCCTTGCCAACGAAATGCTTGATTTCATTTAGGATGATGTATCAACGCGAAGTGGCAGCATTTCGAAGAGAAAAGCGCAACATCACCACATCACCCAAATGTTCCAATTGACATCTCATTTTGTTATCAGGAATTTCTTGACTGATTGATTTACTATGTGATACTTTATCTGCAATGACACGTGCTGACCTTGTAGGTGCTACGTCGAAGGACACAGAAACGTTCGTTTCGAAGATCACGGCGACGAACTACTGCAGCTGAGCGCCTCGAAGCATTAGAGCGAGTCACCGATACGTCTCCATTGCTTCCGTAACAGCCGTCCCCTTTGCACTAGAAGAAGACGGTCGTTGCACTTGTGCCAACCTCGGTAGACACGTCATTAAATCGCGAAAGATCAAGTTCAGCCTTAAATCTATCTACCAACCCCTCGAGGTCATCTGCGCCTTACGATCGTTAATTCCTCACATCCCCCACAAATCACCGTGCAAGGCTCGTCACGAGGACATCAGATTATCGCAATGGCAGACATGGACCTTGAACATTCAGGATTGCAGGAGGTAGCAAATGCTATGCGGGAAGAGAATGCTAATATGAGCAACACTGCACAAAAGCGGAAGCGGGACTCCGAATCAGCTGATGACACGAGGCGCCTTAACAACAAGCGTGTTTCCCCGAATTCTGTTAATGACTCCGGTGACCAATCGTTGGTCAATCAGCAGATCGGTGATGTAGAAGCCCTGCAAAACTATGCCAACCTTCAGCACAATCAACAAATTCATCCCGACCATCAAAATGGTGCCGCAGATCATGCAAACGCCTCATCTACTGCCGCTGCGGCACTTGCTGGAATCTATCCAACCATGACAATTCCACAACCAACAGATGTCTCTTTTGCTTCTCAAGCCTCCGAGAACGATCGTCACCAGGATTCATCTTTTATGGATAATAGCCAGCAGCCCGACAATAGCTTCATGGACAATTCGCAACAGCAACATCAATCTCAAAATCGAAGTTCTGGTTCAAAACCTGTTGTAGGATCTGATGAATGGCATAAGGTCCGAAAGGATAATCACAAAGAAGGTGAATTTACTCTGTGCGTTCTATATTTGAATTTCTCATATTGATCAATTTTCTAGTTGAGAGACGTCGCCGAGAAACCATCAATGAAGGTATCAACGAGTTAGCGAAGATTGTACCCGGATGTGAGAAAAACAAAGGATCTATCCTACAAAGAGCCGTTCAATTCATCACCCAGCTCAAGGAGAATGAGACTCAAAACATTGAGAAATGGACACTTGAGAAGCTTCTCACTGAACAAGCCATTGCGGAACTCAGTGCTAGCAATGATAAGTTGAAGACAGAATGTGAGAGAGCATGGCGTGAAGTTGAGACGTGGAAGAAGACATGTCAAAGTGCTGGTTTGGCACCCAAAAAGGAAGATGCTGGTGCTTCCGATAATTAGATGATGATGGAGTCTTGAGAATATTGGGCGGTCTTCTCCTACATTGTTGGTCCCAACGCGATAAGATGATACCCTTTAAAGACAATGTTTTCGAGCCTTTGTGTATCAACTTATCACATTTCATTGTTTCTTTGGGAGAAGTAGGGATTTTGGAGATGGCTGGGTAGCTTTGCTTTTATGATCCCTCTTGTTTTCATGCGGGACCGGTTGGAGGAATGATCTCGAATGGAAAATTCGGGAATCACATTCCCCCCCTTATTCTTTTACCTATGGCGTTTGAGATGATTTTTCCTATCTAGCTTCTTGTTCGACAACCAAATTCAAATTTTCATTTTATCTCGAAATGCGGCATTCTGCAGATAGAAAGCCATTCGGTTTTTTGAGGTACATAATTTTGCCCCACTACAGTACTTGACATCCTTACTTACCTATGGAGATCGAGATGGCGATATGCATGCATGCAGGAGAGCCTCCAGATTTTTGATTGAAGCTCTTGATAATTTGTGACTTGCATTAATCGAACAGAATGATCAAGCCGAGTATGGATATCTAGGCCCCCTATCACTTCTATTATGAATATAGATACACGGATTCACCGGGAGCGGTGTTCATAGATAGTAGCAATTTTGTGTATCTGTCTTACGATGTACTGAGATAGATTCTACATGATAGGCTCAGATATAAGATCCAATGACGTCTACTTAAGTAGCTAAATAGCTAGATAGCTACTCGTACTAGGTAGGTAGTTCCCGACTCCTCATAACAAATAGGGAGCGGCTCACAGATACCGACTACCTTTACATTGAACATCTAAAATGCTCAACTACCAAGTACTTGTTGAATCATAAGAATATAAGAAAGAAAGAGATGGAGAGGATTCATTACATTGACGCGTAAAATCCTTCTGTTCTGTGCCATCATTTCGCAGATTTTCTTTTTCTTTCTGTTCGTATTGCTTTGTAAGGTTAATAAATAATTATGGTCGAGGTTAAGGAAATCGGAACGCACCCGTCATAGCTTAAATCCGTACCTATCTACTAAATAATTAGTACAATTTTGATCGGTCCCGTACTGTAAACTCGTACCCCATCAGACAAAAACCCGTCCAAACCTCTGCCACTTCCATCATTTATTCTGTCATTGTGTTACAGAACGAATGAACTATCCTTCCATACTCCCATATCACCAGTTCTGAAAACCTCTATCGTCTATCGAAGGAGGGATTCAGTACACAAAGTATCACATATCGGTCATGGTCGTTAGCTCATCGCAGAGCATCCTCAAGACAGGCTCCTTCTCTGGCTTTCGCGCATTGCAGGAGCAGCTTGGTAGTGGATATCTCACGGCGGATAAATCGAGATCTCAACCGTTATGCGGTAACAAGGAGGGATGGGGCCCATTGAGTCCTCATCGTTATGACTTTACACCGTGTTTTATGGACGTTTGGGTGAGCTCTGTGGCGGCCTTTGGAATCTTAGGCGGTGCTATCGCTATATGGTGGCTCGTAAGAAGGAAGACTACGGCGGAAGTAAGGAAAGACTGGCATTTTTGGCTTAAGCAGGTATGGTCCTCACTAGTGATTGAAAGAAACGAAATTGATGGAAAAATGCTTATTCAATGTTCAATAGGCCATCATAATAGGAATCGCAACCTCAGTCGCAGTACAACTCGTTATACAGATACTTAACTACCCCGATGTGTGGGCGGGTGATTTTAGATTCTGGACCAGTCTTATACAAATCGCATCTCTTGGTTTTATCTTTACCATTCAATGGCTCGAGCATACCCGACTACGCAATCCCAACGGCGTTGTACTCTTTTACTGGCTCCTTCTCAACATTGCATACGCAGTCAAGCTCCGGTCGTTGATATCTCAACAAATCTACCACGAGCATCTTCCATACTTCATCGCATACTGTGTGGGATTCGGGCTATCGTTAATTGAATTTGGCTTGGAATGGCTTGTGCCAAAGAAGCAGAGCGTATATTCGGCATTGGAAGATGAAGATGAATGCCCTGTCGAATATGCTACTGTATTTTCGATCCTCACATTTGGTTGGATGACCCCTATGATGAAACAAGGTTACAAGAAATATCTCACAGAGGATGATCTATGGAACCTGGCTAAAAGGGATACCACCAAGTCATGTAGCGAGACGTTCCAGGAGGCCTGGGATTATGAAATCGAACACAAGAAAAACCCATCTCTTTGGATGGCTATCTTCAGATCTTTTAGTGGACCATACTTCCGTGGCGCTCTTTTCAAGACTGTCAGCGATTCGCTTGCCTTCATACAACCGCAACTTCTAAAGCTATTGATCAAATGGGTCAAGTCACGTACGACCGATGAACCACAACCTGTAATTCGAGGAGCAGCCATAGCCTTGGGAATGTTTTCTGTTTCCGTAGCACAAACCATGGCTTTGCATCAATACTTTCAGAGAGCCTTTGAAACTGGTATGCGTATAAAGACCGCCTTGACGGCAGCAATCTACGGAAAATCACTTAAATTATCGAATGAGGGAAGAGCTAGCAAGTCTACTGGAGATATTGTCAACTACATGGCTGTTGACACTCAAAGACTACAAGATCTTACTCAATACGGTCAACAATTATGGTCTGCTCCTTATCAAATCATTCTCTGCATGGTGTCTTTATATCAGTTAGTCGGGTTATCAATGTTGGCTGGTGTCGCTGCTATGGTTCTAATGATTCCAATCAATGGCCTCATCGCCCGCCTAATGAAAAAGTTACAGCAGGAGCAGATGAAGAATAAGGATTCTCGAACGAGATTGATCGCGGAAATCATCAACAATATGAAGAGTATTAAGCTTTATGCCTGGAGCTCTGCTTTCATGGCCAAGTTAAATTTCGTCAGAAATGACCAGGAACTTAAAACTCTACGAAAGATTGGTGCTGCCCAATCAGTTGCCAATTTCACTTGGTCTACCACACCATTTTTGGTATCTTGTTCGACATTTGCTGTTTTTGTGTTGACTACCAACAGTCCACTAACCACTGATATTGTGTTCCCTACTTTAACCTTACTAAACTTATTAACATTCCCATTGGCAATTCTTCCAATGGTTATTACCTCCATCATTGAGGCCTCAGTTGCTGTCAAGCGTCTAACATCGTTCTTCACAGCTGAAGAGTTACAGTCCGACGCGGTAATTCTGAAGGGTCCTATTGAAGACGACGGCGAAGAATCTTTGACTATCAGAGATGCGACCTTTTCTTGGGACAGAAACTCTGACCGCAACGTCCTACAAGATATTCATTTCTCTGCACATAAAGGAGAACTTACTTGTATCGTTGGTCGAGTCGGAGCAGGAAAGTCATCTTTCTTACAGGCACTTCTCGGTGATCTTTGGAAAGTTAAGGGACAGGTAGTCGTTCATGGAAAAACAGCTTACGTAGCGCAACAGCCATGGGTTATGAACGCTAGCGTCAAGGAAAATATCCTATTCGGTCACCGTTTTGATCCTACCTTTTACGATAAAACTGTCAAGGCCTGTGCACTTTCGGAGGATTTTGCTCAATTGCCAGATGGTGATGAAACTGAGGTCGGAGAGCGTGGTATTTCCTTGAGTGGAGGTCAAAAAGCACGATTGACTTTGGCAAGGGCAGTCTATGCTAGAGCTGATGTATATCTATTGGACGATTGTTTATCCGCCGTTGATCAACATGTCGGCAGACATTTGATTGATAATGTCTTTGGTTCAACTGGATTACTCAGTGGAAAGACTAGAGTTCTTGCCACAAATTCTATTCCCGTTCTCAAAGAAGCCAACCTCATCTGCTTGCTTCGAGATACTAAAATCATCGAGCGTGGTACATATGATCAGGCCATTGCTAGAAGAGGAGAAATTGCAAATCTGATTAACACTTCCGAAAACAAGGATGTGTCCACAGATTCTGAAACCACCGAAACTAGCGATTCTTCAACAATACTTGACTTTGAGCAGCCTGGAGAAGAGGAAGAAAAAGACGAAGCTGAAGAAGCTCAAGAACATTTGACACAACTTCAACCTATTCGACCTGGAGGATCAGGTGTTAAGAAGAGGAAGGGTAGCTCTAATACCTTGAGACGTGCCAGTACAGCAACTTTCAGAGGTCCAAGAGGCAAACTACGCGATGAAGAAGATGGTTCGAAATCTAAGCAGGGCAAGGAACATTCTGAACAAGGAAAAGTAAAATGGGATGGTAGGCATATACAAATTCATAATCACAGCATCAATACTAACTTTGATTAGTGTACTCTGAATATGCCAAGACTAGCAATCTTGCTGCCGTCTTGATCTATTTGACTATGTTGGTTGGTGCTCAAACGGCACAGATCAGTAGGTTTACTTCTTTCCTTTTGCTGGCAGATCTCTTTTACTAATGTTTCATAGGTGGCAGTGTATGGCTCAAAAGCTGGGCTGAGGCCAATGACAAGCTTGGCGTTAATCGAGATGTCGGCAAGTACATCGGTGTGTACTTTGCCTTTGGTATTGGATCTGCCGCTCTCGTGGTTGTCCAAACCTTGATCTTGTGGATATTTTGTTCTATCGAGGTAAGGTTGCCCGACCAGGAAGCGGGTTCTCGCATTACGAAAAACTAGCCGCGAAAGCCAATCTGACACCTTTCAGGCATCTAGGAAACTTCACGAGCGTATGGCCTTTGCCATTTTCCGATCTCCAATGTCTTTCTTTGAAACCACTCCCGCTGGCCGCATTCTTAATCGCTTTTCGAGGTATGTTGTAGACGACCGTTTTTTTTTTCTTCTTTTTTTTCTTGGTAGCAGAATATTTCCGATTGGCACAATTTATCGGCACCCTCTTTAAAAAGATTTACTGTACTCCTTGAGTCTGATACTTGCCTTATCACCCCGCTTTGTTCAGAATGGTGCACATATGATTCTATCCATATCCTAGCCTTCTGTGTTTGTTTGAATGCTGTGTTGCATTCGTACCCGAGATCGGATCTTCCAAGAATACAAGCTAACAAGGTCATATTTAGTGATGTTTATCGGATAGATGAGGTAACTATAAAGTACAACCGTACATTCTGACATGTTCTAACCCGTGTTAGGTACTTGCGAGGACTTTCAACATGCTATTCGTCAACACAGCTCGGGCATTGTTTACCCTAGTCGTCATTTCTGTAGCAAACCCCCCATTTATTGCCTTCATATTCCCGCTGGCAGGCGTGTATTACTGGGTGCAGCGTTATTATCTCCGTACTTCCCGTGAGTTGAAGCGCTTGGATAGTGTCAGCCGAAGTCCAATATACGCCCATTTCCAGGAATCTCTCGGAGGAATCGGCACCATCCGAGCTTATCGGTAAGTAACTTTGACAGACATTCTCATTTGCTTAATCCACAAGCTCGGTTGTCGAAGCTTGAGACTTCGAAAACGGAGATTATCCAAGACATCCAGGATACTAATTTGTCGGTACTTTAGTCAACAGAAACGATTCACACAAGAAAATGAATGGAGAGTCGACGCTAATTTGAGAGCTTATTTTCCATCTATCAATAGTAATCGGTATGTCATGTTACCTTTCATAACCATGTTTTCCAATCCAACATCTGTGGTGCGCCATAGGTGATTGACTGTTTAAATCGAAGTGAAACTTGTTCCCCATGAATCGGATCACCAAGCACAGACCAATTGCTCGGCGTTCGAGAACATTTGGGACATTACATTCGACTGACATCATCAATGTGCAGATGGCTTGCTGTAAGACTCGAATTCCTCGGATCGATTATCATCTTAGCCGCCGCCGGATTGTCTATCGTGACTGTGGCTGCTGGACGTCCCTTGACTTCCGGATTTGTCGGACTAGCAATGTCATATGCTCTTCAAATCACACAATCTTTAAATTGGATTGTTCGTCAAACGGTTGAAGTGGAAACAAATATCGTATCTGTCGAACGTGTTCTCGAGTATGCTAGATTACCAAGTGAAGCTCCAGAAGTGATTCACAGACATCGTCCACCAATCAGTTGGCCTGCATCGGGCGGAGTGAACTTCAACAATTACAGTACACGATACCGTGAAGGCTTGGACCTCGTGCTCAAAAATGTCAACCTTGATATCAAGCCACATGAGAAGATTGGAGTAGTCGGTCGGACAGGTGCAGGAAAATCTAGTTTGACATTAGCCCTATTTCGGATCATCGAGCCGAGTGAGGGTAATATCAGCATTGACGCATTGAACACGTCAACAATAGGGCTACTCGATCTAAGACGTCGACTGGCAATTATCCCACAAGATGCGGCTCTGTTTGAGGGTACAGTTCGCGATAACCTTGACCCTGGTCATGTACATGATGACACAGAGTTGTGGAGCGTACTAGGTAAGTGTAACTCTAGACGAAGATACTCGGCGTTGTTTGTGAGATATGAGTGATCATATATTGCAAGCAGCGTGTAATACCGACACTTTCGCTAACCAATCTTCCTTATAGAACATGCAAGGCTAAAAGATCACGTCTCAACTATGAGTGGTGGGCTGGAAGCTAAAATTCAAGAAGGGTTCGTAATACATTCTCCTTATCATAAGCTGAACCCTTTCCCGCGGTCACCCTCCTATTTCCATAATTTTTCCTTTCGTCCTTTTTGCCAAACCTTTCACCACATCACTGCCCAACGTCACAAATATTAACCATCACATGCCGTTTTTTTGCGTTATCCTTCAGTTTTGATTTGCGATTCCTTATTGCATCGTTTAATTCCTCACTCAAAGATCCCGTTTTCACATACCATTCTTTCCTCTTCTCCTAATGTCACCGAAATTGCTACCACATCTATCACAACACCATTTGCAACACAAGCATAATCTAAATTGCCAACACAAACTTCACAAAATTTCATTAAGCCTAGTTTTCCAAGGATAGAATTAAGCTAACCACGTCTTTTATCGGATATAGCGGATCCAATCTTTCTCAAGGCCAACGACAACTTGTCTCTCTTGCACGAGCACTCCTTGCCCCTTCCAACATTTTAGTATTAGATGAAGCCACCGCGGCGGTTGATGTGGAAACGGATGCACTATTGCAGACAACATTGCGATCTCCACTTTTCGCGAAGAGAACAATCATTACGATTGCGCATCGCATTAATACAATTTTGGATAGTGATAGGATTGTAGTGTTGGAGCAGGGACAAGTTAAGGAATTTGATAGCCCTAAAAAACTTATGGAGAAGAGGGGTCTCTTTTGGAAGTTAGTTAGAGAGGCGGGACTGGAGGGGAGTGTGAGGTAAAGTAGGGGTAGGCGAGGGAAATTTGTGAACGAGTAAATAATCGAGGGAGAGGTGATGGGTTGAAAGAAGTCAAAAGAAAACTAAGGCCACATGTTTTCGAAAGATTAGTTGAAGATTGAAATTGCATTATTGTTTTGTACATGGTTTGGGTACCTATATATGTATAGGTGCATTCCTTTGTCTCGTTTCGCGCGTAGGATTTTGGGAGTGGAAAGGAAAACTGTATATGGGGAAGTGGTTAAATGAAGAGATGGGATGAAGGGGAAAATAGTGGAGGATGTTAACTGACATAATGTCAGTGGAGGCGGAAGAGGGGACTTGTATATTTGAAAATTTGAACAGAATGGAACAAAATGGAACAGAATGAATATCATGGATGGGGTTTGTTGTGATGCATTTATGGTTTGTGGTGATGTATGTGTAAATTTAAGATGTACCTGTAGAATCTGATTGTACCATCATGGGTCCCAGAATGTAAATCTCCCTTGAGCTAATGATGATGTTGATTATGCATGTCCGAGGGCATTTGGGCGCTTATTTGGTATGCACACATCTGATGAATCGGATAAAAATAAACGAAATTATACAATATTACCCCTTTGAAGTGTTTAGCTGTCAAAGGTAGACACGGAGAAAGTGCAGTATTGCGGGCGGGCATCATGGATTCAAAGATGCGAATATAATAGTATTAGGCCCTTCAATCTTGGACCAATTTGTGGGAATGTAAGATTGAGGCATCCAAAGAATAGATGATGACGTGGTTGCTAATGAGGGAAATGACTATTTGATAGCGAAAATGAGACAATGGAGGTAAAAGAAAGACGAGACAATTGTGAGAAAGATAGGAGGTAGCTTATAACTATTGTCTAGACAGCAAAGATTCAAACAAGAGGAGCTTATATTTACCTGGGTAGGTAATGTTTCAAAAGATGGATATTTGTTTGTAGAGATCAGATAAAATAACAATCAAGTATCCCACACACGAAGGTCAAAGCCTCGGGCTGTAGAATTTAGTCTCGGAGGAAATGCGACATGAAGGACTTGGGACCGAGATCTCTGATTCTTAGAAGCTCGAAAGAAGTTGTATGAAAGGGAAGATAGAGTAGCGAATTCATATCCGAATAGAAGGTATTCAGGCGTAATTATGATCACATTTAGATGAAGTTCGAAATACAAATGGACCGATTTGTTTGAGATACAGCCATGACTTTTAACCTTTCAGCCTTATGAAATATCCATCGCATTGGCTTGAAGAATGATTATTCCATAAGTCAATAGGTACCGTTGAATCGAATTGTGTCTAAACCGTTACCTGTCATCTTACGTTAATCCAAAACATACCTTCCTCCCCCCTACTGGCACCTCGCCAAGACAATACATCGATCTCACTTTATATTCGAGGGATCTCAAAGCAACATGATCAAGTAGAAGGAGATCCCTCCGCTTTTCAAGAAAATTACGAAATCCAATCTTTATTTCTCGATCCAATGATATTAATTCGCAATCGGTTTTGAATTCCATCATTTATTTGGTCGGCTTAGTATCGAGCCGCATCTATTATCTTCAATTCGCCAGCGGCAATGATTACCATGTGAATGCCCAAGATATTATGAGGCAGTGATGAAGCTAAGTGTGCTATTATCAGAAAATATCTTATCACAGCAATGACTCGAGGAGGATCTCTCACACACAAGATAGACCTAACAAGGTAAAGAACACCTTGCCACCTCGCGTAACACAACATATTGCATCGCATAGTCCAAATCACATTGCATGTCTTGCATGCTGCATTTCATAGTGGGTTGTTTTACTTTCTCATCCAGATAGTTGGGCATGAACTCAGGGTCCTCATGGGAGCGGAGTTCTCTCCGAAGAAATGAGGGTGTGCATCAGTTCGAATGATTCGATGAGGAGTTTATGAAAAGGAGTTGCCTAGTGGGATTGGAGTGAAGAGTTTGGATGAGGTGTGTGAATGAAATAGATGGCGGGGTAGTCCGAGCGTATATGCAGTATTCTGTAAGAGGTGAAATTGTGGATGGTGAGGTGGTTGAGGGCTATGAGAATGTGGTGAAACATTGAATTGTGCGATGTGGTACTGATCATTTTGGGGCGGAGGAAGCTCGGGATTTGAATGCCATTCTAGCAAGCAGGCAAGAAAATTATTTGGAGAAAAGATTGGGGGCTCAAAGCTGGTTGAGAGCGGGTTGAGAATATGTTGTGGTGCGTCTGGTTGCTCTGAAGGTATGCAGAGCAAAATTCCCAGAATCGAAAATTACACAACGAACGCAGTCGTAGCAAGAACAAAGAAACGAGTCAGTATGCTAAATGAGATTGAATTCGAATCATGCATGAGAGACTAACTGCGGAGGCTTCTCCTACTTCCAAACCAAAGACTGAATCAGGAAGAATGCTAGTTACTTGCCGAGTTATTAAACATTGAAATATGCGAGATGTTATATTGGCGTAGTGATCTTGAAGAAGGATGGTGAATGATCAGATGAGATCAGAAAGTGGCTGAATGAATTGAATCAACTGAATAAATGGCTGAAACGTTGTTTGGCTGGGTAATAAGATGGATTTTAGGACGATTGTAGATCGTGTATTCTTTTACGGGCCGTAGTTGCCGTTGTGTGATGTGTGCATTAGACTCGGATAGATATTGTATGGTTGGTGAAGATAGTGAACTAGTAATGGGAGATTTTGCATACGGTGTTGAATGATGGGAATAAGATACAATAGGGATGATCTGCTGGTGGCGAATATATGTAAAGATAGATATCAAGGGAAATTTGCTGTATAAGGTGCAAATCCGAATTCAGGGGAGGAAATGGAGAAAAAGCTAGGGTAACACAGCATTATCTTTTCCACAAGGCAAAATGTTCTACTCCATGAAGGTTTATACAACCTGCACTTCAACATATGTAGTCTCCAATTGCATATGTTGTACTATGGAAGACAGGACAAAAAGTGTTGATTTTGACTGAGAAAGGGGATCAGCCCATTTTTGCAGAAAGAAGTAATGATGGTAACATGTTGTATACCAGAATAAATAACCCTAATTCAAACAAGAGTCCTGGAGACTATTCCCGGACATGGGAATACTGCGGAGGATTAGAACCTTGTCGCTTTTGTGAAATATGAGGTTGTGGAAATGCTGGGATAATTGGTGTTTGGAATTCAAAGTTTATGTTTGACAAACTACGTAGACGGGCTGAACAGGAGATGGTCATGGGCTAAAATGACGAGGAATAAGAATAGCGTGGAGAGAAAAGTTTGGCTCGGTGTACCACGAGGTTGGAATCAAGACCTTTAACTGTGTAAATTGGTGTATGGAATACTAAGTATTGTGAGGCATTTTATCTCCCCTCGTGAAAGATTCGATTCGAGGATTCTCGGATGTGGTGTGTTCTTTGTTGAGTCAAATTCGGGTTTCATTACTTATTGTATGAAGTAATTTCAAATGTAGTAAGAGCCGATGCCGTGTCGGGCGGGACAGACGAGGTACATTCTGTAGAAATCGAGCGGAAAACGTGGAAAATTTCATTGTGGAGTTAGATAGTTGTGCTATATGATGGAGTGTAAGCCGGTCCCGCGCTTGAATTGGTATTAGATCGGGCCTTGTGCGTTTATACAGTTACACCCTTTAGACGGTAGAAAACGCGGAAAGAATAAATCTGTAGCTGGATTGAATATTGATAAAGGTGACATCTGATGTTGTAACGTGTAAGTAAGCTTAGCGGGGGATAATACGCGGGATTGATTGGATACCAATATCTAGATAAGAAAGGATTGATGAAAGATTTGAAGGGCTTTGTGTAACATTTGGTTGACTCATGATTATATTGTGATAAGAAGGTAGAGAGCAAAAAGGATTTAATTGACTGGCACATAAATGTACGATTAGATTTGACCTAATTTGGCGAGGCTTATGGTAATGATGAACAGATATGTAGAGTATACGGCATTGTTAAGGTGCTTACACACATTAAAATCGGCTTCGAGGTATTCAAAACCTACACGAGTACTTCTTCAGGATCTAGTGCTATTACACAGAAGTATGACATCATGTAAAACCTCAAAGCTAGGTGCGAATATTGCTCGAGCTGACTTGAACCTTCATATGCCACGGTGACATGCAAGGAACGGACAACTTTGTTGTTATGTGTTCCCAACCTGCCAGAGAAACATGCAACGAGACATCATAGTAAGTGTATTCTGTGAATAGTCTTCTTTAGCGGAATCTATCAACAAAGCTTCTGTTACCACAACATGAAGCGTGCATGGGGAGCTTGACTTTGTCATTGATTGGGAACATAGTTGAGCAGCGTGAGTGATATCGGACGAAGTGTAAATCAGTTCGCTTATGTCTATATGACCAACTGAGTAGATGGAGATAAGAATATTTATCCTTCGTAATTATAGATTCAGATTATTAGCTCGAAGAAAAAATCAACGGAAATATCGCGTAGCATTATGAACCAAGGAATTGCCCTGACCGACTTGATAAAATTCATAGTTTTTACAGCATTTACTTGCTAAATATTGTATGTGTGATAAGCTAGCTCGAAATTGTATCTTGAATATATGGGCGAGACTGCTGTAAAGATATGTCGAACATGTATAAGCCTGGCACGCGACAATGTAAACCTCTTGTGGGCTTTCGCGTATGTTTGTGCCACGACGCTGATATGGGCGTAAATCGAGAGTAACATGCAACGATGAACATCGCAGTGTTCTTACCGATGGATTGAAAGACCGGATCAGTAATATGCTTCATAAAATCTCTAAAATAAAAGCTTGTGATGACTTGTGACCTGTGGTCAGTTGCATGATGTCCTAACGGAACCACTTGGATAAGAAGAGCACTACTCTTTCTGACCGCTACGTTCTCATATCTGTGGCGACTGCTAACATCCAGAGTCGAAGAATAGCGGAAGATGAATCGTTAAAATTGCCTTCCTGCAGTTCTTGACATGCGCGTCAACTGCCACCAATTTTCACCGCTTCCTGATATGCAACTTCGGTCGGGATCTCCACATCCTCATTTTCTCCGAGATGATAATTGACCATTCGATAACGATGATGGGAATGAAGTATGCCCTCGAACATCACGTTAAAGGTGATGCGATTTGGCAGTGTTTTGTATTATATCCACTTGATATTCGATTGAATCGGTAGGGTTTTCTCCGAATCTGTCGGCTCTGGGAAGACGAGGTCGGACGATTACACTTATACTATGTACGACTTTGCTATTAGCGGAGACTTCTTGTTGCCATATGCAATCAATCTTCCAGCCGGATATAAATTGAACATTGAAATTTTGAGCCAATGAGTGGATATACATGATCCATCCTTGCTACGAAGCAGGATTCGGGTAGATCAGACGATCTCCGTAGGATTTCAAGTCCAGTTTTTGAACCTTTTAGTTGGTCATTGGCTAGAAGTTACTGTTTTGATGTTGTACGATCTGAGATTGGTTACCCAGACAGCAATGTGTAAATGAAATTCACGAAAGGAAGCAAGGAAGAAGAAAGTAGGTAAATTCCGTATTTCGGATGAGTTTGTGAATTAATTATGATATCGTCACGAAGCCGAAAACCAAGAACAAGTGAAATCATTCAATAGATAGATGAATTAAGCCATTCGAGTTGATTTGAGGTCAACGCTAGGTATCTTGGAAGGAAGATTCCGATAATTATAGGTTGTTAGTTCTGGTGTCGTTCGTTAGCTTTATCGATTATTTCTAATTAACTTTCGGTTGTCGTTCACCCCGCAAACTGTATTGTAAACTAGGTCCAGGAACCCATGGAGGCCCGGAGTGATCTGCATTGAGGTCAAATATTACGAAATGTTGTAGGAATCCAATAAGATGGCTTTTTCACTCAGCTATCTAGGTACCGATGCAGATATGGCTCGAAATGTTGAGGAGTTTTTTAACGTACGGCATTATAGTCGAGAGGGGTGCTGTATACATAGATTGAAAGAAAAAGAAAGAAAAATAAAAACAAAAACAAAAGAAAAGAAAATAAGAGAAAAGAATAATAATCTGGAGTAACTAGGAGCCTTATTAATTAAGTAATGAATTTAGTACCTAGTGCATGGACCTGATATTTCTTTAGCTCGAGCTCAATTACAACTTCACTCCATCTACTCGAGTAGACAAATAGTTTTCTAAACATCTATCTATACATCTTCTCGAGAAGATTTCAACTCGATTCGTGATGTATGGATGTTATTACCCAGATAAGTCTACCGCGTACATCTATTTATGCATATGGACCCTAATCTTCATGGTAACACCCAGAAAAGCCACAGTCTTGGAATTGTGCACATTCAGGCTTGCTTATCGATTCTCATCGCAGGATTGCTTTCTCACGCTGTTTGCCTTTCCCGCAATATGCGCCTCGGCCCTCCCCTCTTCGAATCCATGTCTTCCAAGTATAGAATGCTACACCTGGTATCAATTCTAGACTTTGAATCCGAATTCTCGAAGGGCCGTTAATGGTCATGATTATGGTTCCTTCCCCCCCACGATTCCCCACGTTTTTCGATTGAATTCCATAGAACCATTTACCTCGACCAAATGATCTTTTATTCAAAAAGCATGCTTCATGGCGTTGTCAAGGATGTAGCTGATTCGTTGTATCAGAAAAAAATCAGAAGGTAGAAAGGGGCAAGGTAGAAAGCAGTAAACCACAAATACGACCAGACAAATCGACAACTGTCTTTTCACACCTAAACTCAAAATGTTATTTACACGAATTTTGCATATGGAGTGAGCATATTACCCTTATTGCGAAGATATACCAGAATAGTAAAGATATCACAACACCAATCTTTATCTTATCTAGTCCGAAGGGATTATCCGCCAAAGCAAGCATAGACAGATTATCATCGCTTATTATCCAGCCTATCAGCATCACATCGCGTCGCGTTGTATGAGTGTCACAACACCCTCGTTCAATTTAATCCCTTAGTCCACTAATTCATTAATTCATGCCGAGTAATACACACGACGGCAAGGCAAACTTCAAGGATTAATTTGAAACCCAGGAACCGTTGCGTGGTATACCCTAATTCCTTACTGGTCTTTGTAGTGGTCCATGTGTCTACACCAAAACATGGATGACATGGATTTCCGTCAATCATCAAGTCCATAGCTTTTCCAAGGCTTGAAAAGCTGTACCCAACAATCTGGGTATCTGGGTACTCCGTGATGATCAAATCCTCTTGGAAATCCTGGCATGCTGCTTCAAGAATCTGGCTAAAATAAATTATAATATTGGCCAGGATTAATTTATTTACCTCAATTGTTGTAGGTCGCGATTTTGGTCGTTCCTCCTTCCTCTCCCCTCCCCTCCCCCGTCTCTCAGATGGTAGCACGACATTTATTATTCAACGAACCACCGAATAACGCAAACGCAACGCAAGCTTAGATGTACAGACAGGAACACAACAGAAATAAATTCTGTATAGTCAAACGAACCGTGAATCATAACATATTGAACAGCGCATCGAATTTTTCTCAGAGCTTCGTTTAAGCTTGGTGTCCTACAAGCGACTGGGGGCTTTTTGCGTCATACATATCCCCTCACCCATTCTATCCTCCATGCAGCCTTTTTACCGTACATTGCCTACGGGACGTTACTCGAATCTTCTGTCCTTATCTTAAATCTCTTCTTTCCTTCTTGCCATTTTCTCTTCCCTTTCTCCCCTTCATCTAGATACTAGATCTATCATCTAGTTGCTCATTTTACACACAGTTGTGGATCGATCATATATCTATTACTGATACTTATTTCAATCGACTGTATCTCCACTGATCTAAGAGTCTATTCTGGTCTCACTTGCCATCTCAGTCCAGATTCCCCGCGCGTCTAATGGTCCCAAGGGTTCGAAGATCAAACGGCAGATCAAGGCCCAAAAAGGTCCCTGAAAATTGAAAAATAAATCAACTGAAACAATTACTACTGCCGGTTTCCGAACAATATTAGAGTGTCTCAAATACTCTCTTAGTCGTCCAGTTTCTTGATATAGCGGCGATTGAATTGTCAATTGGATAGTGTCAACGGATACTCAACGCTCCTCCAAACCTCAACTCCCTACACTACACCATCTCATATCTCACGTCAACTCACAAGTCTTTCGGTGCCTAATTCCGAGAGTCGGTCCGTACGGTCTCGTATCGGGAAAGAGTATACTCGGTCGGGACGGTGGTAAGATAGTCACTCTTGGGTCTCATGCTTGGGTACTTGACGCCTCAATCGATAATTTGCGACTATAAACTCAGCTTCCCCACCTATCTGGCGGGAATCTGATTTGGTGTTACCTTCGAAATTGAATCCCGATACAACGCCACTTTTTTCTCTCCTGTGAATTTTTTTCTTCTAGTTGCCATGAGTTTATGATATTAATACGAAGACAACCCTGGTTTCGATGTAAGCCTCATTGATTTACTTTTTCCATCTCCATGTCTTGGATCTCCTTACAGACTCGGATCTCTATCATGCATATGCGTAAATTAATACGCTAACATTGAGTTTTGGTAAACAGTAGATTGTCGAGCAGTCATTAAAGCAGTCTCCCGTGCTCCTAATTCCTGATACGTCTTATACCTCACGGACTTGTCAAGTATATCATCAATACGATAGCTCGACTTGTAACTTCACCGCCTCGAGTCAAAGATTCAAAGCCCTTACTTAGTCTATTCATCATCTGAATATCTTTCTTGAATATGGTTCAGCATGAGAATCCCATGCAGTCTAGGGATTGCTATGGCCGTGAGTCATGGCCCAATACCGCGGAGAGATCATTCGATTGCAGCCAACCTTCCTTGAGCGAAGCTCGACTCACACCAATTATACCACACCGCCCTCACCCTCACGAACTAGCTCTTGTACGTTGAGTGACAATCTATTCATCTCATGGAGTGTGAATTAACTAACATCTCTTTAGACTGTCGAGGAAGCATTGAGATCCTGCGCTCGTATTCCAGTAAAAGAGTTTGCCGTCATCGCCATTCTTGACGATGGAAGGGAAGTAAACTACACCTCCCAAACTCTGAAGAATTTTCAACCGAGAATATTCTCGCCACACTTGAAGAATGATTTTCACAAATCTGTACAAAGAGCTGCTCTGGATGCCTCATTCTCAAATTCATCATGTCAGTCACCTTTCAAATGGCCTCTATGTCTTCCTTGCTAACGTTCATCTCCACAGCCTATAGTCAAGAGAGCGGATACAGTGACTTTAGCATGGATAACGCACCAGGTATGAGGAGACTTACCGGAAACGCTTCAAGTTCTGGAAAGAGGCGCCGACACCGTCAGCTTCGACAAAGTTCAGAGGATTCTGACGATGATGATTCGACAGGATCGAAAAAGACTAAGAGATATCATCATCAATATGATGACTCAAGTGAAGATACACCAAGTCCCATCGTAGAGAGGAAGACAATGTTATTGAGAATAGGTGACGAGGAAGAGGTTACGAAATTCTACAGTTGCCGTTTCAAGGATATGCAACAAGCCTCTTGTAAGGTTATGGGAAAAGCTTTTGTAAAGCTCGTTGAGCCTAGAAAGCAGACACATTACCCATATACCAAGGGTGCTGATAAAGCCCCACCGTGGTGGCCAGCTACAAGTGGAGATTTGTCAGTTCGCCACAGAGAACCAGATCACCTTTTGAAACCTGGTAAGTTCAACATCACCATGTAAATCAAAGACATCCTGATTAATATTTTGATTAGAGCGAATACGTTTGTTGGTACATATTTTGAGAATGATTATCGAGCCATATCACAAGCAATGTTCCTCAGTTCAGAAGCTAAATCTCAACGTCAAGAAACTGGAAGAAGTTACGATGGAAGCTATGTCGAATTGGTTTACGGAAAAGGATCATCCCGAGAATTCTGCCAAGAAGCCTTTTTTGAAGGAGATATTCAAGGTTGCTCGAATGGAGGAGCAGTACAAAAATGGCGAGCGAGGTCAGTATCTCATTTCACATTCAAACACTGTACTGTCAGATGGCTAATATCTCATTAGACCCTGATACTTATATTTCGGTAATGTATGGTGATAGAAACGGCGCGGAAATTTCAGACGACGAACCAGATGAGGGCATGAAGCTTGAAGACGATGATTTACAACCTCAAGAAATAGAAGCCTCGCCAATGATGTTAACTCCGCATAGCTCGGTCTCGCCGTCAATCATTCAAATTCAGCAAGCACAACAAGGAACATCGTCTAATCAGCAGAGAGAACATGATAATGTGTATGCACCAGCTCGACACGCCTCGGTTCGATACAATCCACAACAGGAAGATCATATACACAACTCCTCTTACATTCATACCACTACTGGATATATACCTCGCGTTAGCTTCAATGATCCTAGTAGCTCAAGCCTACAAGACCAACCTCAACGTTCCATGTCCACTTCCATGTCTCCAGCTCAATACCAGAACTCACAACAAGCAAATGTGAGCTGGACATCATCTTTCTTCAGTAATCCATCTCCGGCCTCAAGCTTTTACACAACATCACCACAATCTCAATCGTTCACATCCAATTCCCCACAACCTTTCTCCTCCAATTCGTATCAACTTCCCCCGCCCAACTCTCAATCCATGTTACCATCGCATCCTATTGGCCACAGTGTCCAAAGCAGCTACGATGGACTGCCACATAGATCTCAATACGACACAACTCCTCAAATAGGAAGTCAGCTTCGAACAGGAAGTCTCGGTCATCCACATCAACTCCCCACCCATCAACATCATGGCGGATTCGATTTTCTCGACAGTAATAATTATGGCCATCATGATGCAGATCTCAAACCCGATCCGAGTATTCATCAGGGTTAAGGAATGACTCTCTTTAGGTTTATCCAAAAGCAATGGAGAGGGAGTATTGGCGCTTCGATTGTTTTAACTCTCCTGATGGGCGATGGCATATATTCATCTGAGCAAGCGATCGAACATCATATCTTAACATGTTTGACTGGCATATTTTTTATATACATAAAACCAGCGGAGACTAAGATGGGATGAAATGGTGGTGGTGCAAGCGTTCAATTTGGTTGTGCAATTTTATTTTAAGTTTCTTTTTTTCAAATCACTTTTACGTTTTGTGCTTTATGCTAGTTTATCTTTCACTGTTCTCTGATTTTCGCGACTGACGTATGAGTTCTATTGATATTATTGAATGGGTGGAGGTGGAATTGAAATTGGTTGGCAGAGTTTTGTGGTGGAAAAGTTTGGGTTCGGCCTCGGATGGAACCTTTGGACTTTGAACCGGGACTCACTCGGGTTTGGAGATTTAATACGTGGTCAATTTCTCTTTTTTCCTGCACACTTTGTTTAGGTACTTTGTTACGGTATTTTTAATGGAGGTTGATGGATTAAATTATTGACACGGGATAGTATCTTATGGCTTGGATTGGTGTTCTGAGGGTAATGATACGAGATGGATGGTTGACACGTGAATGAAGGGAATTTGTACATGGAATTATGGATGCAATTTTTCGACTCACAAAGGTTATTTGAAGCATGGAACTCAAGAACGGCAGTCTTTATGGCTGGCCAGTCAGGCTAAATTATGATTATGAGAGTTGAATATTTTTATTTGCATATCTACTCATTAATTCGTTGCCTTTCCTCATGTTCCATATGTGGCATTGGAAGGTAAGAGACATGAAAATGCGGGGAACGAAATCAGGCAAAGTGGAGAGAAGCAAAGCAAAGCAAAGAAAAGCAAGAAGAAGAGAAAATGAGACGAGAATGTATACAGTAGTCGGGTCTAGATGTTAAAAAGACTTGGAATAATCAATAAATATTGTTACCTACTCCTTTTGATTCGAGTGTACTTGAGCGAGCGGCTAGACGGGTATGATTTGCATGTGCATGTACTAGTACCTACCCTTCTACCTGCCTATCCATATGAATAATATATAATTTCTAGTACCTGATTCCGTTTGTAGAGTTGCATATGCATGATTATGAAGTTTGGATGGGTGTATGCGAAGCGACCAAAAGAGCTTGACGAAGCAGCTCTTGGGGGGTAGAAAATTGAAGTAGTGCTTTGATTTGTGTACGCAGTACATACTTGTTGAGTAATTTTTTGAGCGTTCGTTAGATTCTGTTTGGATGTAATGAATTTTTGTTTGCATTTTGATTTCTTGGCTACCATTACAATATCCCTTTCCGTGACCATTCCGTAGCATTTCCGTAGGCTTCCTTCCCATGAGGGAATGAATTAATTGGGGATTTGTTTGAGGGAGAGCTGCTTTTAGGTCGAAATTACTGGGGTGAAGAGAATGCATTTGCAATGACGTACCAGTGAGGTACTTTTGTCTATCAGTAATGCGAAGGTTAGGGATGGAAAGGGAGGGATACATATTGTGCCTGGGTATTTCACATGCAGCTTATATTCACGCACTAATCAATCGTTAATCTTTGATTAACATGTTAATTGATCAGAATTTTCCAAGATTAGAGAGTATTCATTCAATATTTCTTTCAGCATTATCATGATCTCAGAGGGGCCAAGAGCTTGATAGCAGATAGGTCCCCTATACTGGGTCAAAATTTAGACTCTAATTGCCGATAGTAGCGTGCAAGCGAAAAGATGGCTTCCACTGGTGCCCGTACGGGTGTCCGTGCTTGCCTTGCTGGTGCCCGGTGAGCTCGGATATTAGCGACGGACGGCGACCTAGACCGAAGAGTTGGGATAATAGATGAAAACTCGAATGGATAGGGCGAGGGACGAGGTTGAGGGATGAGGATGTGATGAATGGTTGATATCGGGGTCTCATCGAAGGGTGGTTATGCAATCGGGACGGATGGGTAAATTAGGAAATGTGCGGTATAGGCGGCAGGCAAGGTATGGAAACGGCAATGGTATGGCGTAGGCACTGCATGTATGAGAACGGATATCGATCCATGGAACGGGTCTTAATTCAGGGTTTGCCTTTAGAAATACGTGCTTGGATACTATCATGTGTGTTGGGGCTTGTTTATCCAAACGAAATCTTTCAGGCTTGGTTATGGAGCTTGCAAATCGATAATGATGTAAGGTCATCGAAGTTCCATTGAATGAAATTCAAGGACCAAAGAAAGTTTGAGTGAACGGAAGAAATCAAAATATCGTTGGATTTTCTTATGTCGAGGTTTTATGGATTCATTGCGTATTGCGTATTGAATTGCTGCTACCCTGAGTTGCTAGTGCTAAGGTTACATGGAGTACATGAAAAGCTATAGCTAAGCTGTGTGTACCTGAGTATATCCGCCGGAGGTATTTGGATGCTATGTAATTCACAGACCTTGTATCTATCTATATGCACGTCAGTCCTGACCGTCTTTAAACAGCCTTGAGTGGCCCCAAGCAGCAGTTAATCAATATTCGTTGAATGCATAGCTAATTCTGGTGGATAAAAATGTTTCCCTGTTCGAGTACTCGTACCTTGTTGGGAGACCTCGCTAGTATAGGTATGTAGAGCTACATATATACGTACGGCGGGGTCGAATCAGCGATAAAATGGGAACGGACAACAAGGACGTTATCAAGGGTGGTAGGATTGATGGGGGCGGGGGCGAGGGGGGTGGCTCGGGTGGTTGTTATGGTTGGTTTATCATTTCAGGAGAGGAGTGGGGTTTCAGCTGTGAGCTTTGAGCTTTTGAAGTCTAGACTGTGCCAGGTCCTCAGATGGAATAATTAAATGTACGAAGTATGGAGGCTGTCTTCCATTCATAGATAGACGTATGATTAAAGAATACTACCTATATACGAGACCCTGGTTTTGGAGGGGATTTCTGGAGAATCATGAACGAATAAATAAAGATAGTTACTCCATACCTCCATATAAAATTCAATAGTTGTTCTGAATGAAGGTTCTGCTTATCCTTATCTCTATCCACATATTTCTCTTCATCTTACATGCGTACCTAGGCTATCCATCTATGAAGGATTATCTACACCACGATCCATAATGATAGGTGTCGAGATTATGGATGAGGGGTACCGCTCCGTATGTTACATATGTACATGTATGAAGGATCACATATATTGAATTCCACTCGGTTTACTTGCTCTTTTTATTCACGTCAGGGTTGAAGCGATTGACGATCATTCATCTGATCCATCGACGATTCTCTAACTGCATGTTGATTTTTTGTTTGCATTTTGGGTAGTCGTGATTCGTAATTCTTCATCGTGCCAAATTATCGTGCATCGCGTTGAACGTCGAAGAATTCGGAATGGTCGGTATATTGTTCATAGGACTAGCTCTATGGACGTTGCTGCTGTGGAAAGTGGGAAATGCGTATAATGGATTCTTGGAATCTAGAAGGATAGCACAGAAAACTGGATTTCCGGTTATTGAGACGCGTGGGTGTATTCAATGTTTGGACTGAAAGGAAATGAAGGCGCTGATGTTAAAGGGTTGTTCTAGCTCTTGCGCCAATCGGATTAAAAAATATCTTGACATTGAAATTTATTATTCCAATTCTGAGGAGATTACCTGGAACGAAGCATTGGGAATGGCTATAGTAAGTTTCTCTTCTCTCAATTATTGCACCCCCAATTCCAAAAACACCCCCTAGAAAATAGCCCATCAAACCATTTAACATCCCCATAGCATAGCCAACCACCGCAATTCCTTCCTCAATCTCCGCTCTTCCTATGATCTCCATGGAGACACCTACATATTCGCGGCCACGAACCTCAATCTATTACGCACGACAAACGCAGAGTTGATAGCGCAATTCACAACGCGAAAAAATGATTTCGTTAAGCCCGTGAAGAATTATAAGGTGTTGGAATTTTTTGGGAAGAATATTGTGACAATTGAAGGGGAGGAATGGAGGAGACATAAGAAGGTGGTGGGGAAGAGCTTTGGTGAAAAAAGTATAAAGTTGGTTTGGGCGGAGAGTATCAGACAAGCGGAGGCGATGATTAGAATTTGGGGGAGGAGAAGTAGAAGTAGCGAGAAGGGTCAAGAGGAGTTGAGAGTGGAAGATGCGGGGAGTGATACGGCAATTCTAAGTTTGCATGTCATTTGCGCTGTGGGATTTGGAGTACCACAGTTGTGGGAAGGAGATGAGGAAGTAGATGTGGGTATTGGAGATTTGAAGATTGAAGGGGAAGAGATGCCGAATTTGGGTTTGAGTAAACCGGTTGGAGAACATTCATTGGGATTCAAAGATTGCGTTAATACAGTTTTGAGTAGTCTTCTTGTGAGCAACAACAGAATGAAATTCATAGAGACACAGAGGTACTAATCGTGATGTAGCTCATATTATTATGGCCGCAATGGATGTTGAGTAAGTCACTTGATTCCTCTCCAAGCATTCGTTCTTCTGACGTTTCAAGAACTTTCACCTATAAAGCGCCATGGAAAGGTGTACAAAGCGTTTAAAGAAACAAATCAATATGTTACCGGACTACTCGAGCATAAAAAGAAGCAAATATCAGCTGGAGATTATGATAAAGTTACCATGGACCTAATGGGTGAGATCGCAACTATCATTTGCAATCCATTCCGATGACACTAACAATATCAAGGGAATATGCTCAAAGCATCCACTGAGACTCTGAACTCCCCTAAGGACCCCATGGTATCAAATCGGAATGAAGACTTGCCCCTCACCGAAGCCGAAATAAAATCAAATGCCTTTATATTTCTCCTCGCCGGCCATGAAACAACTGCATCCAGCATTCAGCTTTGTTTCGTCTACCTCGCCATTTCCGTCTTGTCTCAGACATCTATGCAAGCTGATATCGACTTGATTATTGGCTCAAAGAAGCCACAGCATTGGACATATACGCGTGATTTTCCAAAATTGTACAATAGTATGGTAGGAGCGGTGTTGAATGAAGAATTGAGATTAATGCCGATAGCGGATACAATACCGAAGATTGCTGTAGGGAAACAGAAGGTTATAGTTGATGGAGTAGAGAAAGTGGTGCCGGAAGGATGTTTTATTCATCTGAATACTGTAGGGACACATAGGAACCCGAGGTACTGGCCTCATAGGATTTCAAAGGAAGGAAGCACGGATTTGAATGATTTTGTACCGGAAAGATGGATTGTAGAGAAAGTGGAAGAGCGCCAAGAGATGAAACATGCGGATGAGGATGAAGATGAGGATTCGGCAAAGGATGAAATTGACAATGAGAGCTCTACACTATTTAAACCAGTCAAAGGAGCATTTATACCTTTTAGCGAGGGACCACGCGCTTGTCCGGGCAAGAAATTCGCGCAGGTGGAAATGATTGCTGTTTTGACTGTGATATTTCAGAAATATAGTGTGGAGTTGGATGTGTCTAGATGGGCGAGTGATGGGGAAGTACAGAGGATGAATGATGAAGAGAGGAGAGAAGTCTATGAAAAAGCTATTATAGAAACGAAGGAGGTGCTTAGAAGATGCAATCAAGCGCAAATAGTGTTGAAGATGGCGCAAGAGGATAGAGTGCCGTTGAGGTTTGTGGAAAGGGGAAAGGAGAAATTCCGTGGCTTGTGAGAGTGAGTGTGTAGGGGGAGAAGTGGATGTCTATTATAAAAACAAATGAATAATACCTTTTTCCTGCGATTGAAGGTTGGAGTATTTATATCTTGTCTCTAAGACTTTCTTTGCCACCAAACATCGAATAGTTGAATCAATCCAGCCTACGGAGGTGGTTATTGTAGCATTTGAACTGGATGTCCAGGTAGGGTGGCAAGGGTGGGCACTCGCAAAGGGATGGGCCATGAAGGAAAGAGCTTAGCGTGTGCTGAAAGTCATCACCAGCACCTACCTAGGTATACCGTACCTAGATCTAAGCCTTCGGCAGTAAGCTTAAGCTTAGGAACTTTTATCCGCAAAGTCTATCGTTAGTAGTAAGACCTTCGTTGAATGGATTGATTTTGATAGGATTATCAAGTCATAGATTGTAGCTACGGGAGCTTTTCTATAATTTTGTGTATTAAATTTGGTGGAATGTTTTGTTAGGAACGACGAGTACAGAGGGAGACAAATAGGAAATGTTGATGTTGGAGCTAAGGGGAAGAATGACGATTGCAAATCCTGGCTTGTCCCAGGCTTGTGTGTACGAGCACGAGCACTGTCTTGTATATACGTAGGTATCTATACGTATCGATACATTTATATACGTAATTGGGATATTTCCTGAAACAATCGAACTATAGTTAGAATTGTGCTCCCGAATAGATGTACGTGGAGGTCTGCACTAATTAATCAATTGCGCACCTAGGTAGGTTTGTCGCTGGACAAAAGGTCATTGAGTTAAGATTTACATCAACACCACAGCTGAGCTTCGGAAGTGCGACACAAAAGTAAGAGCCAGAAAGTAATCAGTAAAAGCCACCATATTTATGAACATTTATTCATCTCCGGTGGTTAAAGACATACCTACCTAGTAGCATTATCGACATCAAAACTTCTCATCAATTACACCTACCTACCTACGATACAAGCAATATAATAAACTTCAACAATACTCGAGTACCTTGCAGAAGCATCTCCATCATCCCCATAATCATCCCCATTATTTTCATCAGAATTACCTTTCGCCTCATCATTTCCCCACACATCACACTGCAGGACCATTCAAGATCGATCCACCCACCCGAAATAAACCCTGGCAATATGGTTGAAGAAACTCGAACCCGAAACCAAACCCAAAACCACAACAATAACCTCAACATCATCAATACCGATAGATCCTCATCACCAAATCCAACCAAGAGTATATCACCTACTGGCAGAGCTTCAAATATTACCGGTGATGAGCCTACAGCAACATTGAATCGACGTCGTACCAATCGTTGGTCCACAGATGGAATACCTTCGGGTGGAAGTCGTCGCAGGAGTTCGAATTTCTCGGAATATTCGCTGAACGAATTTAACAAGAGTTTGAGGGATTCAACAGACGACATTTTATTTCCTAAACCTAGCGATATGAAGGAGGAACATAGTCATGATTCTTCACACTGGGATTCGGCCCCTCTAGCCTTTGCCCTTCTGCCAGCAATTGGTGGTCTCTTCTTCACCAATGGAAATTCGGTCATAACCGATATTATGTTACTTGGATTTGCGGCCATTCTGCTGAATTGGTCTGTAAGGGTACCATGTGAGTTATCTGTTTCCAGAAACCTGGAATCCGCCATGTAGAAATGGCAGTGGACCGGCATTGGGGAAGTGTCCATAGTAATCAATGCATGCTAATAATTCAGGGGATTGGTATCATTCAGCACAGTCGATTCGAAAGAAAGAGGTATATAATGAGGAAATGGCTCGGGAAGAAGGAAGCGGGGATGAATGCGCAATGGACTCTACGACCGAGATTCTCGAAGACACGTCGGACGACAAATCGAACTCGCCTTCCAAGACAGAGCGACGCCAGCCTGTACACGAGTCTGCTACCAATGAACTCTATGTTCATGAGATATTGGCTTTATTATCATGTTTCATATTTCCAATAGCCGGGGCATATATACTACACTCAATACGATCACAATTGAGCCGCCCGTCCGAAGGATTGGTCTCGAATTACAATTTGACCATCTTTTTACTAGCATCAGAGCTGAGACCAATGGCACATCTAGTCAGGTTACTACGAGCAAGAACACTGCATTTACAAAGAGTTGTGAATTCACATGCGTACGATGGTTCCAGTGAAAAAAAGGCAGAAGATAATGAAGCGTTGGTCCGAAGATTGGAGGAATTAGAGGCGCGAGCCTCAAATGTAGATTCGTACACCGGAAGCATGCCAGAGCTGGTCCTAAATGGGAAGCAATCGGCAATCCTTACTACAGAAGTTCGCCGCACAATGCAACCGGATTTAGATGCTCTCAACCGAGCTGTACGCCGTTATGAAAAGCGCGCTACACTTCAATCATTCCAAACGGAAAGCCGTCTATTAGATTTGGAAGCACGATTGAATGATGCTATCTCCTTGGCAGCAGCAGCAGCTAATAATTCACAAAGGCGCAGTACTTTCGGAATAATATTCGATTGGATATCCTCAGCTATGATTATCCCATTACAAGCTTTCGGTACTATCGCGAGCCTTCCGCTGAAAACACTTCTCTCGGTGGTTAATTACACCCGATTCCTACTTGGTGGCCAAGAACCAATGGAGAAACCTAAGAGAAATTCGAATGTTCGATATGCGCCTCATTCAAAAGTTATTGATCGTGTACAAAATAAATCAAAGAGATGAGGATTCAACAGTTGGAAAGTTGGAGTTTGGTCATGACCACCATCAAGTTAGATCCAATGAATGAAATGTTTTATGCCACTTTTCTCAACTTCTTGCACGGAATAAATGAAGCAGGTCTGTTCACAAGCCTTTGGAAATACACGTCGTCATAACGACTTTGTGATTGGTTTCCACGAGTTGAATAGTTACACGGAATGTGAGATACGCATCATAGGGGTTCTATTAATCGAGGACGTCACAAATAGTCTATTGTCATGCGGATGTAACGCCTATAAATCCGACTCTATTGTTGACGGCTTCCGATTCAAACAACCTTGAGAGAAAATGGTGGGAAGTCGCTGAAATCTGAAGTTTGTTGATTTACCAAAGAGAAATTGTGAAGAAAAGTAAGAAAGTGTGAGTCAATATGATTCAACATGATTTTTAACAACTCAGAACTCGAGGTTTAAGACTGGACGATGCCCTTTACTTGTGATTCCCAAACATGTTCAGATTTATTTATTCTCCCGCACTCTAAACCTTTCCAGCCTCAGCCTAACAACAATGCCACTCAAGTCGGATATTCACATCAATGTTGCAAAGTTTGAGCCAAGCAATACATCGGCAGGTACAGCTAAAGCTAATGAGGATTTGATCAACTTGCTGAGGGATGGTCCAAAATGGTTTGAGGTATGGTTGTCAATTTATCTACAGTTCTTTCACTACTTACTGTAAATTTCCAGATGGGTGCCTCAAAATATCGTAAGATGAGGGATGCTGGGGAAACTCCCATCCCGAAGCCTAAACTCTTACCAGATGGTCTCGACATAGAAATCCCTTCTCGTGATAGTGATCGAGCAATCCCTTGTCGTTTAATATATCCATCTTGGCGCAAAACTATCGAGGAACGAAAGAAGACAAGAGCAATCGGATACCTTATACATGGCGGTGGATGGGTTCTTGGCGATCACCATTCTGCCGATATTCTCCTCCAGTTTTATGCCGATGCTGGAGACCTGGCAATTGTGTTAGTTGGTTATAGACTTGCTCCAGAATATCCTTTTCCATGTGGTCCAAATGATTGTATTGACGTGGGAGAATACTTGGTCAAGCATGGGAAAGGGGTTTTCGGTAGTTCATTGAAATTTATTGGGGGAGAGGTATGTGGGGTCTTTTACAATCATATGATGTATCTACTAATACTACTTTATAGAGTGCAGGTGCTCACTTATCTTTACTCGTCGCCTTCCATCTTCTCAAAAATCTTCCTGATTTTAAGTTGTCCGGGCTAATTCTCCATTGCGGTATATACGATCTCACAATGCTCCCTCAATGTCGGAATTTCGTTCGTCCAAATTTAATACTCGACCACGATTTGATGCGTAAATTCGTCAACGCATTCCTTCCAGATATGTGTGACGAACAAAAGAAAGATCCTCTCATATCACCATACTATGAAGATCTTGAAAAATTCAGAGGAAGATTGCCAAGTGCTCTTTTCACATGTGGTACGGAAGATCCGTTACTAGATGATTCGGTAACAATGGCCACAAAGTGGATGATGATGGGTGGGGAGGCCATCATTAAAATTTATACCGGGGCGCCGCATGCGTTTATTAATATGAAGGATAAGTTGAAGGAAGCAATGGATGCACAGGAAGATACGAAGACCTGGATAATTGATAGTATGGCGGAATTATGAGGAATTCTTTAGGGTGTGTGGGAAATGGGATTTGTGGCATGGGGTTTCGTTGCTTGTTTGAGATGAAAAGGAACGTCGAAGAGAAATGTGGGTATTTTGATGCGGAATACTGGAGGAGGTGATTGCGTAGAAATGTTGTTTCGATATAGATTACATTGGGAATCTTTTCTATTCGGACTTTTTCTTTTCCTTATCAGCCCTACTTTGATCACTATATATCATATAAATTTCTGTGGCTACAAAACTTATGGTTTCAACATTTGATAGTAGCTTTTGGTGATATGAAAAGCCATCCAAATCAAGACCTTCAATTTTGAATTCGTGTTCCCCAACCGAACATGGAAGGATTCAGATTATTAAATGATGGAAGGTAAACTTACTTGTGGATGTCGATCGGAAGATGTTTTAATTTTACGCGATCGCATCAACATCATCGATTATGGATCACATCAGCAGCCAAACCAGGTTCCCAAAAATGACCACACGAACTTAAAACCGAACTTTTAAGGTACAGCAGCTTCAGAAACATGGGTTCCTGTATTTTATTACTAAATGTACCTTCAATGACGCATTCATTGCATGTGCTTGAAAGACGATGCAACATCCCTTGAGATGTCACTTCCGCTAGTGTGTGAAGTATGGGAACACTTGTGTACAGTATAATTTTAGGGTGAATATAGAATTGACATGAATTTATTTTATTTTTGCATTGCTTGGGAGTTTATCTTCTGAAGATAGGTACCGGATCATAAGTACGTCAGAATGATGGCCCCTTTTATTCTTCTACGTCTTCAATGTATTTTTGATTCATTTTCCTGTTCCTGTAATATTCTTTCCGCCCCTCGCCAAATACTCATTGAGGATTTTAGCGTCTCGGTTCCCCTTTCTCGCTATACCCGATGAGTTGCTCAATAAGATTTTCTTTGGCCAACCACATCACATCATTGGATTCCTTAATAGAAAAATAGGAAATTCACATACTTTGCTGAGAAGTGTCTCGGGTTCTGATTTGAATTTCTTATTGAGAGTTTGAGCTGAGGAATGAAACTGAGTGGATTGTAATCATTCATGCTGGGATTTTGCGGTCCCTTTACGAGCTCTTTGATTGATAATTTTACTTTTATCTCTATTAAGTTTCCGGCAGCTGAGATGGGGTTTTCTCAATAGAAAGACCATTTCATCGAGAAGATGAAGACTACAAGCTTTACAAATTTACTCAAGGCAGGAATGGTCGATCCTCCCCTAAAATAACCTCTTGATAATACCTGAGCCGATCTGTCTATCACAAACACGTCTCGCGGGAATCTCCACCTCCCATGATAGCTTAAACATCAAAATAGAAATATTCTTTGTTCCATCCTCCTCTCTTGTTTCTACTTGACTGAACTGCCTGCTATCATCTCAATCTACTTCAATTTGTTTCGGCACATTCGTGTCCGTCTCCACTTCCTATACTGAGAGTCAATTACTGCTATGTCGAAGAGAGGTGATATTCAGATATCTACCTCTCATCCCTTGACATTCATTCAACTTTACCTCATACTCTCAGAAGCACATTGCATTTCAACATCATGACAACGATCATAAGCACAGGACCCGATCCACCAGGTGTTCATTATCCCATCTCCCCCAATGCTATTACACTGCCGATATTCTCAATAATTTTTATACTACTTCTCATCGTTCCATTCCGCCTCCTGTATCGCGTCAGCAATATAGCCGCCTGCTCCCTCGTCATCATAAACATAATTTCTCTCATCTTTGTCGCCATGAATGCTCTCCTTTGGCCAACCGACTCCCTCACCTCTCGATTCTCTGGCAATATAGTCTGCGATATTCAAGTACTGATTCGTCAAGCCCTCTACACAGCCATGACCTCAACAACATGTTGCATATCTTTATTTCTGGCAAGAGCAGTGAATACGGATAATGCATGTATGCATGAAACTCGAGCGATGAAAAGAAGAAGAGTAGCGAAGGATTGTGCTTTTTGTTTTACGATTCCAATTTTACAAGTAGCGCTGCATTACACAATACAAAGTAATAGGTTCACGGTTATGACAATTTATGGATGTGTGGATGCGACAGATTTGAGTTGGCCAAGTATTGTTATTTTGCACATCTGGCCACTCATTTTTGCATGTTTGAATTGTTATTTTGCTTGTATGTATTGTGGTACTCTTCATTTACATCATTTGAGAGGCAAATTTTGGGAAACAAACTAACGAAATCAATAGTTCTAGTAATTTATCGTCTCCGTCGGCATCGCACAAATTTTACCAGTACTCTTTCCTCTTCCTCTTCGGGACTCAGTCCTCGCCGCTTCTTTAAACTTTTTTCAATGTCCCTCATGCTTCTCTTGATCTATTTTCCAGTCGTTATTTATTATTTCTATCTCAATGTTAGCTGGCCTTTACATGCATATTCGTGGTCATATATTCATGATCCTACATATTGGCATTCGATCATCTTTTGGAGAATTGCAGATGCACCAAAGGGTATGCAGTACGATGCATGGAATTGGGTTGCTTTAGCGTTTTTAATTGTGGTATTTTGGGGTTGTAATGGTGAGGGGATGGAGATTTATAGAAGGGGATTGTGTAAATTGGGATTGGCGAGATGTTGGCCGAGATTGAGGATGAGCATGCATGAAAGGAAGATGGAGAAGAAGGAGAGGGATAGTAGGATGGGAATGAGTAATGGAACTGTGAATGGGAGTTGGGCAGGTCGATTTGATTTGATTACCAAGACAATTCATTATTTTGAAGATCAGGAGGCAAAAAGTAGGAAACAAAGCGTAGCTACGACGACTACATTGGGCAATGAAGTGTAAGTTTCCGATGCCTCTTGGAGTTTCTCCATAACATATGGGTATCAAATCTAACGGATCCATAGAACGAATACCACAAGCCGCAAGCCTTCTCATACCCCAACCTTTAACTCTGTCAACTCCAACAAATTGCCTCGTAACTTCAACATTATGACCGGCTACAATCCCTCAACTCACAAACCTTCCAACGCGACAACTTACGAAAGTATAAATGAGAAAGAGACGTCCCTCTCATCTACATCTACTACTTGCGAGAATCCAGATGTCATCTCCTCGGTTCCAAGGACTGCAAGCCCAAATAATGCTTACTCGAATTTTCCAAATCATGGGGTAGGGGGGAGGGGGGATAAAACCCCGCCAACTTCAGCAAGGATCTGGGCAACCTTTAGAACACATCTCAATCCCATTTCTCTGGCTTCTTCATTTGTTCATGGCAAGAAAACAAATAATCAGGATTCACATACTCGTCATCATCCACACTCCAAATCAAAATCAGCAATCGATCAAAGCGCAAATCTAGACCCAACCATCGGAAATCAAAATTCAACACATACAACCCAAATATGGGCTGCTGGTGCTCTACAAGACACGAATGATATATATAAAGGATCAAATGCAGGGCTACCGACTACTGGGGAATCGACCAAATCCACGTGTGATTATGCAGAGGAAAAATATGATCAAGATGACCTTCTCGCGAATCCTAAACCGGGGACTAGAGCTTATAGGGAGAGAGAAAGACGAGAGATAGTTTCCGAGAGGCAAGAGAGGAAGAAGGTAATGGAGAAGAAGAGAAGTGAAATAGATGAGCAGGGAAATGAAAACAGAGGTAGAGTAGGAGAGGGATTGAATGTTGAAAGGACTTTTGATGTTGTGGAAGAACGGAATATTGGGAGAGCGAGTAGTTCTTGAGAGTTTGTGAAGAGATTGTTCTTGGGATTTGAATGATGGTGGTTTCAATGAATACTTTTCTTTTGCGGCTTGATTTTTTATTTGTCCGCTTTTTCATAGAGATCTTCTAGAATCTCTTAAATAAAATACAGATTTTAATGTATAAAGGGATAATTTCGATTATATATATCATGTCTATCTACTCAGAATTTTACATATTCATAGAAATAATTTTATTATAGTATTGTATTACATACTCAAGTTCTATAGCGAAAATGAAGCCAACCTCACTGAATACTCCAAAATTATCTTATTATCTTAGATTTATTTACTAGTTTTGCTCTCATGAAAGATTCAGAATTACTTTTGGGAGAAACCAGAACAATCTTATAAGTCTTTGAACCCCGAAATAGGTAAGAGGTATACTCGTATTTGGAGAATTGATCCTTAACCCGAATTGGAACAGAGTTCAGCGATTGACTCGTTATCTAGTAGGGTTGATTATTGGAATTTATTTTTATAAATAATTCATTTTTCAATTTCTTCCAAAATAAATTATTCATAAAGAATTTTTTATAAATAATTTATTATTAAACTTCTTTATAAACAATTTATTTATAAAGAATTACTTATGAATAATTTATTTTCTAATTCCTTCAAAATAAATTTTTAATAAAAAATCTCTTAAAAATAATTTCTTTCAAAATCTTCTGAGAAATAAAATATTCATAAAGACTTACTTATAAATAATTTAATTTAAAGCCTTTGCAAAAATAAATTATTTATAAAGAATCACTCATAAATGATTTATTTTATAATTCCTTCAAAATTATCTTCAAAATGCTCTCTTATAAATAATTTATTCCAAACTCATTTTCGAAATAATATATTTATAAAGTCTTACTTATGAATAATTTATTTTCTAATTTCTTTAAAGGTTATCTATTTATAAAGAATCTCTCATAAATAATTTATTTTGGAATTTCTTAAGAATAAATTATTTATAAAGGATTTACTTAAAATAATTTATTATTAAGCTTATTTAGAAATAATTTATTCATAAAGATTCTATTATAAATAGTTTATTATTAAATTTTTTTAGAAATAAACTATTTATAAAGAATCACTTATAAATAATTTATTTTCTAATTCTTTTACAAATAAAATTTTGATTAAGAATCTCTTATAAATAATTTATTTCAAAACCCTTTTGAAAATAAAATATTCATATAGACATACTTATAAATAATTTAATTTCTAATTCCTTTAAAGAAAATTTTTTGTTAAGGATTTCTTATAAATAATTTAATTTCTAATTCCTTTATAGAAACGTTTTTGTCAATGGTTTTTTATAAATAATTTATCTTATAACCCTAAGAAATTTTTTTTATAAAGACTTACTTACAAATAATTTAAGTTGAAGCTTTTTTAGAAATAATTTATTTATAAATTAACTCTTATAAATAATTTATTTTCCATTTTCTTCAAAAGTCAATTATTTATAACAGATATCTTACAAAAAATTTATTTACAAATTAGCTCTTATTAATAATTTATTTCTTAATTTCTTCAAAAGTCAACTATTTATAACGGATCTCTTACAAATAATTTATTTTCTAATTTTTCAAAATAAACTATTTATAAAGAATTTGCTATAAATATTTTTTTCAAAGATTTCATTAAAAATAATCTATTATGAAGCTCCTTTAGAAATACAATATTTATAACTACTTACTTACAAATAATTTAATAGAAAGTCTTTTCAAAAATATATTATTTATTAAAGATTATTTATAAATAATTTATTTTCTAATTGCTTCAAAAATAAATAATTTATTTTACAATCTGCTTAAATATAAACTATTTATAAATACTTACTTATAAATAATTTAATTTAAACTATTTTTAGAAATAAATTATTTTTGAAAAATCACTTATAAATAATTTATTTTCTAATTCCTTTAAAAGATTCTTTTATACAGAATCTCTTATAAATAATTTATTTTTAATTTTTTTTGAAAATCATTTATTCACAATGAATATCTCATGAATAATTTATTTTATGATTTCTTAAAAATAGATTATTCATTCAAACCCTAGTATAAAGAATTTATTATCAAACTTATTTACGAATAATATCTTTCTAAAGATTTTGATATAAATAAATTATTATTGTACTACTTTAGAAATAGATTATTTATAAAAAATTACTTCTGAATAATTTATTTTCTAAACCTATGAAATAAATTTTCAATAAAGAATCTTTTATGAATATATATTTTATAATCCTTTTATAAATAAAATATTTATAAACCTTTACTTATAAATAATTTAATTTAAAATCCTTTCAGAAATAATTTATTTATCAAAAGTTACCTATAAATAATTTATTTTCTATTTCCTTTGAAAGAATTTTTTTTATAAAGATTCTCTTATAAATAATCTATTTTCAATTTTTTTTTAGAAATAATATATCTATCAAGTCTTCCTTATGAAGAATTTATTTCAAATCTTTTTGAAAATAATTTATTTTTTAAAAAAATATTATCAATATTTTATTTTCAAACTCTTTCAGAAATTTATTATTTATCAAGAAAATATTAATCTTGATTTATTTTTAATTTCTCTTAGAAATAAAGTATTTATATAAATGATTTATTAATATTTTATCTTCGAAATTGTTTATAAATAAATTATTTTTAAAGAATCTTAAAATGATTTATCTTTAAAGGAATTCTTATTGATATTTCTTTGAATAACATACAGTTAAAATTCTTTCATATAAATTATTAATAAACCGTATTCGAAAACATTCACCTGTAAAGTAAATATCATAAAGCAATTGATATTAGAATTATTTGAATATAACTTATTTATTCAGATAATATAAAAAATAACAGTTCAATAAATTATTTTCGAAATATTTTGTTAACTAATAGATTATTATAAAAAATTTGTTATTAATATTTAACAAAAGTATTACGTTTATTAAGAGAATAGAAAAATTAAATTATTATTATAGTTTTCTTCAAAATAATTATTAGAATCAATACAAGATGACGACTAGTATAGAATATAGGCATGGAACTAGAATAAGACTTTTTATTAATCCCTTCAAAACCTTCCTTTTGAAGCTATATATATAAACTCTTCACTTACTTCCAAACTAATAATCAGCCCAATATCGATTCTATATTAATATCCGTAATAGAGCCCCTCTTTTTAAGTTTTCGTCCTTGAAAACTTTAAAGCTATTTAATGACCGATTACTATTATATCAACCTCTTTTTCTAAGCCTTATTAACTCCTACAGTAACAAGCTAGTATTGTAATACCTATATTCTCATTTTATGAGATTTTGCTTTTCCATAACTCTTAAAAAAAGCTACACCGTAATATAAGAATACTAAGAATTAATTTAATCTATAAAATCCAATTTATCCTTGAGATTTGAAAATCATAAAAAATTCAAAAAATTCGAAAAAGAAATCGATTTGTTTTCAATAAAATAATGGTTTGTATTCGATATTTATATTCGATATAGTTTTGCCTCTCCCTTCTTCAGCTTTCATCCTCAAAAGCATATAAAAGATATAAATTTAGAATTTGATAATAGTTCACTAATAAATAATATTCCATTTTCTGAAAGTGATAGAATCCTGCAAATTAATTAAATTAAATACTCTTAAAATCCTGAGAATGATAGAATTCTATAAGCTAACCGGGCTAATACTCTCAGAATCCGAAAATCCTTAAAAAAAATAAAAAAAATTTATTTGTAAAGATTTCAAAAAAAAAAAATGTATGCTTATAAAAGTAATCTTATATTAATTTATTTCAAATGTAGTTCAAAAATAATTTATTTCTAATAAGTTTCTTATAAACAATTTGTTTATAGAGAATTTCTATTAGTTCGAAAAAGATACGTAAGATATAGTTCCTACCATTAGTAGGCCCCTAAATGTTTATTTATATTCAATCTAAAAAGCCAGCTAATTGAGAAAATAGTAGGCCTTATATAAGCACTACTGAAAGAGCTAATCTCTTTCGCATTCGCCTAAATACCTTTAATATAGTAGCCATTGTATTGAAATCATTCCTTTGAAATGAATACCCTTGTTTATACAATTTCGCAAATAAATTATTTATAAAAGTAATCCTATAAATAATTTATTTCAAATGAATTTCAAAAAAAATTTATTTCTAATAAGTTTCTTATAAATAATTTATTTCTAATACGTCTCTTATAAATAAATTATTTTTAAGGAATTTTGAAATTAAATTATTTATAAAAGTAATCTTATAAATACTTTATTTCTAATATGTCTCTTATAAACAAATTATTTATAAAAGTAATCTTATAAACATTTTATTTTAAATAAATTTCAAAAAAAATTTATTTATAAGGAATTTCCTACAAATAAATTATATATAATGATCTACTTCAAATAATTTCTTGTCAAGGAATTTCAATAATAAATTATTTATAAAGAATTACTTATGAATAATTTATTTTCTAATTCCTTCAAAATAATTTATTTATAAAAGTAATCTTATAAATATTTTATTTCAAATGAATTTCAAAAATAATTTATTTATAAGGGATTTCCTATAAACAAATTATTTATAAAGTATTTCGAAAAAAATTACATATAATAATCCTCTTATAAATAATTTCTTATCAAGGAATTTCAAAAATAAATTATTTTTATGAATGATTTTACAAATAATTTATTTATAAAGGATTTTGAAAATGAATTCTTCACAATGATCTTTTAAAAGTAATTTCTTATCAAAGAATTTCAATAATAAATTATTTATAAAAGTAATCTTATAAATAATTTATTTCGAATAAATTTCAAGAACAATTTATTTCTAATAAGTTTCTTATAAATAAATTATTTATAAAGAATTTCGAAAATAAATTATTTATAAAACTAATCTTACAAATACTTTATTTCAAATCAATTTCAAAAATAATATATTTATAATGTATTTCTTACAAATAAATTAATTACAAA